TGTCGAGAAGTCAAGAGAGTGCAGCTCGTAGTCAGGTTGTGCTACTATGTGTAGTGACGCTCGTTGAGTAGTCATCTTCGGGGTCGAGGAGAAGGACTGGAAGAACTCAACACCCTCGCGCTGACTGAAGCCTCTCGCAACGTAGCGCGCCTTGAACGCCGGCGACTCTCCAGTAGGGCACTTCACCTTAAAGAGCCACCGACCATCGACAACGTTCACCCCAAGTGGGGGAACTGCGTTGACGTAGGTACCGGTGGATCCCTAAGATGCCATCTCCGCATCCATGGCAGCTATCCACTTAGAGGCCCAGAGTCCTGAGGTCGCCTCAGCGTAAATGCGAGGGGACGGAATGTCAAAGGCGTCTGGGTCACCCTTAGGGACTAGCAGCATGGAGCAGAGATGAGGCACGGCCTCGGACAGGAAAGTAAGCTCGTACTACCGATTCTCTAGGACGTCACTCCCAAGGGTAGGAGGATCCCCGACAGACGGAGGACAGTCAGGGTCAGAGACTAGAGCGTTGGCGTAGTCAAGGCAGCAGATAGCGGCAAAGTCAGTGACGGCAGCACAAGAGCGTCAAGACTGGAGACGGGAACAGACGAGTCGGAAACAGGTGAGGCGAGGACTGAAGGAACAAGAGGAATGGCGGCACAGAGAAAGTCAGACAGGGAAGGCGGAGCAACAGCCAGTGACGATGGAGGAGGAGACGGGAGGAGGGGAGGACGAGACACGTGGGAACGAAGCAACATAGGGTGAGAGCGCTGGACAGGAGAGACAGCACGAGCACAAGAGGGACGGTGAGAATAGAAGTGGGATGGAGGCGTAAGGTCAGGAGATACAGGAGGAGACACAGGAGGAGAACGCGGGGGAAAACAAGCCGGAGACGAGTCCGGCGGAGGAAACACAGGGCCGCAGAAAGGCAAGGGAGGCGGCAGCGGGGGAGGCGCATGCGGGTGATCAGGGGAGGAAAGACCGAGGAGGCGAAGGGCGGACACGGCGGAGACTGCTGCTGCTGCTGCTGCTCCACGCCGACACCAGAACCTCAAGCTGCACCACGGCTACCTCCGGGACCCTCCACGCCAACACCCCCGGAGTGAGAACCCTCTCAAACGCCGGTGCCACCCCCACGACCGCCGAGACGAGCCACGACAGTAACCCTAGGGCTAGCACCCCCAAAACCAGCACCTCCAGAATGAGAACCCACTCCGTCAATGGTGCCACCCCCAAGACCACCGGGACAAGCCACGACAAGAACCAAAGAGCTCGCGGACCCCTGTGGTGGCGGCGACTGCGGCTGCTGCTGCGGCGGCGACGGCAGCGGCTGCTGCGACGGCGGAGGTGGAGAAACCGGGGCAGAAACATGGGGTGAGAACGCCGCCACAGGGCCACAAGAGTCAGCGGACTCCTCGACCGGGACAGCCGACGGGAGGGGAGTGACGTGAGACACACCAGACACAGGGGATAATGCGGGCAGTGAGCTTGTCCGTGCCAAAGGCACAAACGTGACCAAGGCAGCACCAGTCGTGGAACGCAGATGAAAACTAGGGAACCCGGTCCAAAGAAGGGTCAGCAAAACCTTCGGCCGCTGGGAGTGCAGCTACAGGTTAAGCTGGTGAGCGGCGTAGCGAACAGCGAGTGGCCACAGAAAATGGGGTGCACCGGCATGGATCATGGAGGTACGAGCCACCTCCATGACCAAATCGATGCGTCGCTCAGTGATCCCATTTTGCTGCGGGGAGTCCGGCAGGGTGTACGACTGGGGGATGCCCTCCGCACGACAGAACTGGCCAAGCCGACCAGATGCGAACTCGCTGCCACGGTCGGAGTGAAGACGCAGCACAGGGATGCCGCGGTGGACTCGCACAGCTACGACCCATGGGATAAGAACGCCAGGCACGTCAGTCTTCTGCTCCAGGGGAAGCACCGTGGTGTAGTGTGTGTAGTCATCGACAAGCACTAGAAAGTAGCGCTCTCGACGCGGCCCGGGGATGGGGGCTGGGCCCCAAACGTCCAGGTGCAGGGTCTGGAGTGGCACAGTGGTAGGGGGGAGCAAGGAGGAGTGAGGAGCACGGCGCAGCCGACCCTCGATGAAAGGCGTGCACGGTGGTGCAGTAGAGGGAGGTATGGCTGGGAGCGATGCAGGGAGACTGAAGACAAGACCGTGAAGGGACATGTGACGCAGACGCGGGTGTGCGGGCTGACCTAGGCGGTGATGCCACAGTAGCGACGGGTGGGTGAGCGACCTACACGAGCAGGCTGCAGCAACCTGCGAGGACGCGGTAACCTGGGGGGACGCTCCCACCGGGGGGGACGCGGTGTTTAGGGGTGTTCAGGATGAACAGGCCAGACACGGGGTCCTGGGGGAACGTGCTGAGAGGGGCAACAGTGCGGCCTCGGTACAGACTACAAACCGCTCGTGTCCAGGTAGCGTACTGGTGACACCGAGGTTCTGAAGACAGTGGACACCAACAAGATTCCTAGAGAACGAGGGGATGTGCAAGCCTGTAAGAGAGCCTGAGGGAACCGCTAGACAGGGAAGGGTTGTGGAGCTACGGGCAACTACCGGACCTGAGGAGGGGTCAGCAAACGCTACAGCGGCAAGGGCAGCAATCGGGGTGAGTGCACTGTGGTCGCGAAAGAAGCAGGCGGACGCGCCAGAGTTGAGCGTAAAGGAGAGCGAAGCAGTAGTGCCAACCGGCGGAGGGGCTAACGTGGAGCCTAGGCTAAACAAGGCACTGGGTCCTACGCCTCACGCAGCAGGGGAACCTACCCTAGGAAACACCGGATAATAGGGTCCAGTCACGCTAGAGTCATCAGCATACATAGCATTCCTAATCTGATCCATGTCAAGCTCAAAGACAGGCACACGGCGGCGCACCTGGGCGTACCAGTTAGGAGGGTCCGACGTGGAACCGAAGCAGAGACGGAAGAGGTCGTCGAGGCGGCGGTGGCAGTGCGCAGCGGTGTGACCGGGACAGTCGCAGACGGTGTCCCGGCGGGGGCTAGATTGAAGCTGGTACTGGCAGGTGGCCATACTGGAGCCGCCACCCGACACCAAGCTGCGCGCCCAACCACCACGGCCACCACCACCAGCGTCGCCAGGCTACCACGGCGGCGAGGGTCCCTAAGGCGACTACTGCTGTTGCTGCGACTTCTGCTGGTGCAGTTGCTGCTATTGCTGCTGCTGCTGAGGCTGCTGCTACTGCTCCGGTGCACCAGCCCTGGTCCCCTCGTCTGACCCACCGTCCCCAACCCCACCTCCACCACCCCCACCACCCTTCCCTCTGCCACACCCCCCCTTGGGGTGGCGGCCCCTACCTTGACGCGGCTGCGCTGAGGCCGCAGCGGAGGTCTTAGCAGCAAGGGTTGTCTTAGCGACAGCAGCAGAGACGTCAGAGTAAGTGCACTGGGAGTGAGCACAGTCCTGGAAGATAGGGACCGGTGCTGTACCGCTAGACTAAGCGATAGTGCGCTGGCGGGTCTCTATCGCAGACAGGGCGATAACAAAGGCGGTAAGGGTGAGGTCACTTGGGTGCTGACTAAGGAAGTTGTCGTGGGTAGTGGCGAGGCGGTCAGGAAGGCGTGTGGCAATGAGGTAAAGGGTAGCGCAAAGCGACGGCGGGAAGGCAGTGAGCTGGGCCTCAGTGCTAGCAGCGCGGTAGCTAGTCTCAAGTGTGCGGAAGTGAGTGGCAAGGTCAGCGACAGTGGGGAAGGACGCAAGATCAGGGAACAGCGTGGGGAGGATCAGGCGGCCAGCAGAGGCTGAGGAGGGCGTGGAATAGCGCACAACAATTAAGTCCTTGGCGTTTGCTACAGTGGTAGAGCGGGGACGCTCATACAGGGGGAGGGCATGACTAATAGTAAGCTGCGCTACGGCGTCGCGCGACTCCCAAACAGCGCGAGCAAGCGCAGCATCGGAAAAGGCCTCACGCTCAGCATTGGTGGGGGCATTAGGGAGGGCAGCAGGCGCGGCGGGGCGGGGAAGCATACCATCGACGTGAACAGCCAGGGAGTAACCGTCCTGGCGCTGACCTGTCAGGTGACAACGAAGGTCGACGAGCCATGCCTCAAAGTTGATCGCCGGACCCTCTGCGTCCAGGCGATGGACAGCGTCTGCCATCCCACGACCTCAGTTGCTGACGCGGCACGGTGGCACGGCGACATGGCGGCACAGCGGCACGGCGACACGGTGACACGGCAGCACTGTGCCACGGCGACACGGCGGCACGGTGACATGGCGACACTGCAGCACTGCGGCACGACGGTACTGCGGCACGACGAACTAGGGGGCGGCAAGCGCGGGGTTGGCGAACTAGGGGGCGGCGAGCGCGGGGCCAGCGAGCGCGGGGCCGGCGAGCTAGGGGCCGGCGAGCGCAGGGTCGACGAGCGCGGGGCTGGCGAGCGTGGGGTCGGCGAGCACGGGGCTGGCGGGCGGGGGGGCGACGAGCTAGGGGCCAGCGAGCGCGGGGCCGACGAGCTAGGGGCCAGCGAGCGCGGGGTCGACGAGCGCGGGGCTGGTGAGCGTGGGGTCGGCGAGCACGGGGCTGGCGGGCACGGGGGCGACGAGCGCAGGGCCAGCGAGCGCGGGGCCAGCGTGCGAAGGGCCGACGAGCGCGGGGCCAGTGAGCTACCGCAGCGAGGGCGACCTAGGGCGGCTAGGGTGGGCTAGGGCGAGCTAGAGCAACTAGAGATAGGGCACGGCGCGGTTAGCGCGACGCGGCGCGGCGCTACTAAGGCTAGGACTAGGGCTAGGGGCGGAAGCGTAAGCGGGGAGGGGGGACCTAACCTAGCGTGATACCATCTCAGAGTAACGAATTAGACTAGGAAGGGTGGTACAGGGTAGTTTTGTGCTAGGTGTTGTACTCGCTATGGCATGCACCTATCTAGCCTATAACAATATACATCAATATGTTGACACCAATTCCTGTTTTTGTTCGTAATTGAGTACCGTTTGTTGAACTGTGTTTTGTGATATCAACGACATATTCAGTCAGCCAAGTGAACGCTTAGGACACGCCCTCAAACTGCCTTTCATACACCGGTACACAAAACACTACATTCACGCACTGGACAACTCTCGTCATAGGCCACACATAAAGGTACACATATACAGACAAATAAGTCTATGGCCTTCATGGTGGTATTATAGAGTAACAGGGCAGAGGAAACATAAATGAGTTGCTCTGTGCAGGGTCAAAAACTCTAGGCTGGAAAGAGCCCTCTTCTGTCATGAATCGACACGCCTGGCTGTGGAACAGCGTGCAGAGCCCTGCAGGGAGAGACGCAGGGGAGGGGAAGGAGGAGGAAAGATGGGGACAGAGTGTGGAGAAAAGGAACCAACGGAGCTGGCAGTAATGGATCAACATGCCTGGCTGTCAAACCCATGGCTTTCGCTGTCATATACAACACATCCCATTTCCCTGCCCTAACTCTGCCATAAACCCCCACTATCGCCTCATGCTGCCATGTCCAGTGGCAGCAATCCACAGTCACCCCCACCTTGCACGCTCCATGCACTACATCCCACCTCATTCCACCGCACTCCACCCATGACTTACCTCTGTCAAAGTCCGCCTCCTGGGGTTCGTGCTGCCACGTCCAGTAGTAGCAGTCAGCAGTCACCTCCGACTTGCACGCCTGGCAGCACCCCTCAATGCTCAGATACCCCGCCTCTCCCAGCACACTCCACCCCGCTGCTGGCGACTCCACGCCGTACAGCTTTCCTCGTGCCACGTCAGATGGTGATGTGGCGGGCGCTGACGTGTCGCTGTACAGCTGTGTGATGGCGCTGCTGCCAGCAGGGCAGGCGGACAGGCAGCCTGAGAAGGAAGGGCAGGTGGTGTTCCCCGTGTTACTGCTACCACTGCCATCACCAGTGCCCCCGTTATTGTCACCTCCTGTTACAGGATCTCCTACTACGCCTCCCCCTGACGTGCCTGCACCGGTCCCTCCCTCGCCACCAGTGCCAGTACCAGTGCCACCGCTAGAGCCACCGGGGGAGGGAAGGGCGGCATCTTTTGGCGCCTTGCGGAAGGAGAAGGAGACTTTGGAGGAGAGAGATTGGGTGCGAGAGGAGGCAGGGGCAGAGAGGGCGGCGTATGCCTTGCTGGGCGCACATTGCTGGCTGGAGAACAGCTGGCATGTGCCTGGATGTGGAAAGGGGGGGGGAGGAATGGAGGCGAAGAAAGAGGTGGCAAGTGAGGGGGTTTAGAGGAAAGCGGTAGGGAAAACGGCAGCACTGCTCGACGTAGCACTCCGTGCTGTGGCTCGCCCTGTCCAGCCCCCTCTGCACAACCCCTTATTAACCCACACCAAAGAGCCTACCCTTAATGGAGTCGAGCCTTCTTGTGAAGGTCCAGTACTCGCACTGGTCGTCAAGCGCGCACAGCGAGCAGCACTCCTCGATGTAGTACTCCGTGCCGCGGCTCGCCTTGTTCAGCCACGTGGCGTCTGCTGGGCTGCCCTTAGTGTTGGGCACCTTGTGGGGGACGAGACTGCCCCACACCGCCCCGGGGAAGGTTGTCTGCGCGTCCTGTTTGGATGCAGAGAGAGGGCGAGACACGGGTGTTGGGACACGGACGGGAGAGACATGAGGAGAGGGAATGTGCCTTTTGCTGGGCTGCCCTGGGTGTTGGGCACCTTGTGCGCGAGCAGACTGCCCCACACCACTCCGGGAAACGTTGTCTGCGAATCCTGTAAGCATGGGGAGAGTACGGGAGAGCGGAGGGGAACATGGATCTCCTTTGTGAGCCAGGGGCCCAGGGGGCGTCTGCTGGGCTGTCCAGAGTATTCAGCACCTTGTGCGCGAGCAGACTGCCCCACTCCGCTCCGGGGAATGTGGTCTGTGCGTCCTTGTAAGATAAGACCAGGCACGAAATAAGGACGGGGATGGAAGAACGGGAAGGCGAAGAAGGGAGTCGCCTTATTGAGCCACGTGGCGGCCGCTGGGCTGCCCCGAGTGTTGGGCACCTTGTGCGCGAGCAAACTGCCCCACATCACGCTTGGAAAGGTTGCCTGCGAATCCTGTGGGAGAGAATATAACGCCTCGCTACCCACTGGGTCAAAACGAGGTTACCCAGAGGCGCAGCGGAATGCTTTTTACAATCTCTAGGGTGCTTTCCGTCCGCAGACGTTACACTCGTCCCCCCCTGGCGCCAACGTCCTCGTTGGCTCAGGGAGTCGGCCCCCGCAGGGACCTCGAATTTCGCTGGTGGCACAAGTCAGCGACTTCGCTGGTGATGCACAGCGGTTACCAGGATCGTTCGCTGGGTTCGCGACTGGATACAACCGTATTACACATTCGAGTTCTCGCCACGACCTCAGCCGTGCGCGGAAAATGTGTCCAGACGGGATTCGAAAACCCTAAGCTCTGGTACCAGTATAACGCCTCGCTACCCACTGGGTCAAAACGAGGTTACCCAGAGGCGCAGCGGAATGCTTTTTACAATCTCTAGGGTGCTTTCCGTCCGCAGACGTTACAGAGAACGTGTGGAAGAGGGAGGGAGGGAGGGAGGGAGGGAGGGAGTTAGGGGAGGAGAGAGGGAGGGGAGGGGTATCACCTCCTCGTTCCGCGCACTCTGTGGCCCAAGGGAACAGACTGCCCCATACCGCACCCAGGGAGGGTTGACACCGTGCCTGAATGAACCTTGGTAAGAGTGGGAAGAGCAAGGGGGGGAGGGACGGAGAGAGGTGGGGAAACGGTGCAAGTTGCGCACCGCACCGCTAGGTGGGAAACAGTCTGCCCCCCAGGTGGGGGCAGCTGTCTCGCACCGCATTTTGAGGCGCCTCAAGAATCGTCCCAGGTGGGGGCGGACTGTGTCGCACCGCTCCCGGGATGGTTTATTGAAGCTGGGAGGACGATGCGGGGAAGAGAGGGAGTATCTCGGGGGATGCGCGGACAGTGGGGGAAACTATGCGGAGGCGTAAGCCTGCGGAACAGTGCGCGCGCGGTAAAAGGATGCGCACCTCGAGTTGCGGGAGCGACTCGCTTGTGGGGCAGCTGTCGAGCTGGGGCCACGGGGAAGGGCAACTCGCGGCGGAAACCGTCTTCTTCGCGCCGCCTTTCGCGCCGCCTTTCGCGCCGCCTTTCCAGCCGTCCGGTTTGCGAAACGGGTTGAAATTCGCGAGAGAGCTGGGTCGCGAGGAGACAGAGAGGAGGGCGGAAAGGGCGACGAGGAGGAGCAGCGGGAGTGCTGCGAGAGGGAGCGATAGGCGGCGCGCCATGATGGGAATCTGGCCGCGGGATGAGGGACCGTTGCGGGTTGGATCTAAATAGAGAGTCGAGACGGGAGCTTTGCGCGTGTGTTACTATGACTCGAGCTGGCGGTTGGCGAAGATGAGAGAAAGAGGGTGAGAGACGCGCTCGCACGAAGAGGGTCTGACCTGAAGGACTGCTGTGACTCGCCGCTGCTGAGACTCGCGACGTCTTAGAAAGATGACTTTAATACCTCGCAGCAGGGCGAAGGATGAAGCGTACCTCTTTCTAACGCCTTGCTGTGACTCGATACGTTTTGTGAGGTCTTGATGCGATTCGCAATGGCCTCTCGGCGCGCGGACACATAAGCTCAGGACGTACAAATTTCTTCGTTACGACGCTGGTTTCAGCGCGCAAGTGAGCCTATCATATGTTTCCTCAAGAAACTGCGTCCGATACACTGTCCAGTTGTGGAGAATAACGAATGCGAACGAATATTTCAAGCGACTAGAAATGCGGAGTATGCCACGTGTCCGCTGCTCCTGCGACCGACGGCAGCTTTGACATTACCTTCCGCACCTAGACGTCATCTGGGCTTCCTCCTGCTGCTCGTGTTAGGATAGATTAGAGACAGGACAACTAGCCCACCCTAGCTGTAGGCCTAGTAATGCTGATGACCGTCCTTCCCTGCGCGCAGGTGTACGCACTACAGATCGTTCTAGGCAGTGGGATGGGTAGCCTGGTGGAACAGCAATATGAAAAAACGTTATCGTACTGGATCCTACTGTATCACAGAGAAACTATGCCAGACCAATCTGCACCGAATACCGATATACCATCCTCCATTTCCCATGCCCGTGAGGGAGCTGATTCTACTTCGGTGGCTGTACGTTATGCACCTAGCCCGCGGTATTTTGTACACCCAGTATTTTCACACGGGGTGTCGCCTAGAGGGTATTCACCCCCCAAAAGCAGCTCCTGAAGACCAAATCTGCATACCCTTTCAAAACAATTTGAACTTGGAGTTCTATACGAAACGTTTACTGCTCGATGTAGTTTTTCTGGAGTCAGGAAACCCGGCGTCGGCTTAGGCGGTGCCCCAAGTTTGTGCCCGCGAGGAGTCTGCCAAGCTTAGGCGGTAGGGACAAGGGGGTACTGTCTACGCACTCAGAAATGGTCAGGGTAGAAACAAAAACTCTTGTGCCGCCCAGTTTCAGGGTGTGGAATTACCGCGGCTAGGTGTATGTTGAAGTGTGCTTGATTTGGGCGAACTTTGCTGGCTGGCTGGCTGGTTGGTTGGTGCACCAAGGAGGGCGGTGCCACCTGAACATTCCGCAGAACCGACCGACACTGAAACGGCCAATCCGCGACGAATGAAAATTGATGAACGGAGGGAACGACGAAAAAACAGCAGCAGAAATGTACTCTACACCTTATACCCGGTTTTGTTTGGGGCGATTGATTCATCTGCGTAGTGACTGTAACGCTACGCAGTCACTTAAGGCATGGATCCTAGGGTGGCGTCCTCAGAACTGGTCACGGTTATGGCGAAATCTTTGCCCAGAGAAAGTTTTGCGACGAAACGTCTAAGTGCTTGCGAAATGCGTAACCGAACCGGATTGTGTACCTCCGTCGGGTTGTGCCGCCCTAGGCTCCACGCCTTTCCTTCAAGAAATCCCATGTTCCACGGGACTCGCCCTCGACATCACAAACCTGGCCCAAACTTGGGGTGGTTGGAAAAAACCATCACAAAATGCGACTCAAATATGTGTCATTTGAACGAATGTGTGCTGTACACGTAGCCTGCAGTAATTTCACACCCTGAAACTGGGCGGCAGAAGAAGTTTTGTCCCTACCATTTTTTAGTGCGTAGACTGTACTCCCTTGTTCCTACGGCCTAAGCGTGGCATACTCCACGCGGACAAAAACTTTGAGTATTGACTAAGATGACGTCGGGTTTCCTGACTCGAGAAACACTAAACCGAGAAGTAGACTTTTCGTATATAAACCCAAGCAAATTTTGTTTTCAAGTGTATCATGATCTGGTCTTCAGGAGCTGCTTTCAGGGGGTGAATACCTTCTGGGGCACCCCCTGTGAAAATATTGGGTTTGAAATTACCACGAGCTAGGTGTACAACCAGCCTGTAAAGAACGGCTCTGATTCCGCCTTGTTCCTGATTGGGTATTGGCACGTGCTGTACAGGTGCGTCTTCTGCTGCGAGGCGCAGGGGGTAAAGCCGCCAGAAACTTCTAGCGAGGATAAGCACAGGAGGATGCTCGAATAACAGGCATAAGCGCATGGTTGTCCTCCACAAATATGTATGTTTGAAACTTCGTATTATGGTATGGTGACCTCAATTAATCGGATCTGGTATTGCACATAAAGCTAACATTTTTCAGTGACATAAGTTTTTATCCTGTGTACACTCACTCTATTTTTTGTCTCCTGTGTATTCAGAATCTGTCATTTTGCTTTATATACAGAATGGTTGAGGTGTAGGTGGTTGCCAAATCGGGACGAGTAAGGGGTATGTCATGCCCTGTGGTGAATAATTTGCACGTCAAACGTCTAGGTAGACCTTTACACGTGGAACAAGCTGAGCGGGCATTCCCATCCAGCAACGCCTACGTCATCAAAGGTCAGGAAGTTCTAGTCAGAAGTTGCGGATGGATCGAACAGCGTGCTGTAGTTTCGAGAGGAAATTGCCTGGGCGGTTAGCTGGGACAGGACCCCTGCACAGGGAGACGAGATGACACTGTTTACGAACGTCAGCAGACTTTCCGGGCGAAATAGATGTGGCCAATCATTTGCCTTCGCGAGCGAAGTTCGTCAGCCTAGAAATCGCCGTTCCTTGGGCTGCCTGTCATGTCCTCAGCTCGTTTCCCTGCAACTAGGTCATCTCTCACCCACAACCGCAAGTGAGAGATGCTTGTTACTACGTAACTAGACAGCTCAATGCACAACTTTAAGCGAGGCGCTGTTCGGAGGCCTTTTTTGGAACCCGCTGGTGGGTTTCCTTCAACAGGTTCGAGAGAGCTTGAGGCCCACTCTCTCAAATTTGTCACACCGAACCCAGGGCAAATAAACTGGCTACCGAACAGGCAGCCGTGAACGATAGTTTGCTGGCCAAGGAATCCTCCAAGCACATGCCGTCACCGGCGATTTGTGTGCGCGCAATAAACTAGCAAAGAATTCGGGTCGAGCCAGATTCTTTGTTGGTTTATTACTAGGAAGGGGTACCGACGAGATGTTTGAAAAACACCCAAATCGGGCATGGCTGCGGTACGAACGCCCTTAGAACAGCTGCTTTGCGGTTGGCTGGAAAAATGCCAAAGGGACGAATTCAAGAACCAGCTCATCGCACGAGTTTTGTGTGCCCCCGAGCTTTTACGGGCAGGCTCGAAATTTGGGCGCAATTTTTCCCCCCAAGCCACGTGTGAGCACGCTGGAATACCCCCAAAGCTCATCAAACTTCCCAATACATGTCGTGGTTGGGATTTTCCAGTAACATCGCGGCGCCATGCAATAAACGTGGCCAGTATATTGCCGCCGAACGGGGCCCAAATCTCGAAGGTTGGCTTGTTCAGCCTTCGCTACGTGATTCCTTCGGAAGTATGGTCCAACAGATGTATGTACATCAACTCTATGGCTAGGGAAGGCCTCATCATTTATCATTCAGGAACCCGATCAGACCAGCTAGCCTCCTTGTATTCGTACTTCTGTTGGAGCTCCCTAGCATTCCGCCTTATCTCTATCCCGTGGCGGACTTCATTTCATTGGTCCCGTCCTGTCATGGCACGGTGACATGTAATCTCCACATTGCGTTTGGAGACTTGTATCACCTCCTGACGTGGTTTATTTGTTGCACTTTGTTCCGTCGTGAGAACGGGCTCAACTCACGAACTCGCCGCTCTGATCGTCTGAACGACATTGCTTAATCCTAGCCTCCTTCCATATCAGCCAGCTTTGCAACCTGCGAGAGCGTTCGTCTTGAAAAACAAAACGTACAACAGCAGCTCAAACGTTTAAACCGCAGGATGGGTTGGGGAGGGATCACCTGGGCGATCCCGCGTCCCAACGCCCAATCCCTTCTCTCGTGGGGTCACATAGACCTACCCTGGTCTCCCACTCCCCTCCCTCTCTCCCTCCCCATCCTCCCCATTCTCCTCCTGCTCCTCCTCGGCCTTCTCCCAGCCTTCTCCTTTCTCTTCTTCTCAACATCCGCCAGCCGTAAGCGAAAGGGTGTGAAACCAGGCGAAGGCGAGGCGAAGCTGGTAACCGGATCGTCCGCGATCTTGTCATCCGCCTGGGTCCTGTGGCTTCGCGGAAAGTTCCCTCCAGGCCCCTGGGGCTTGCCGTTTTTCGGCAGTCTGCCTGACATTCTCCGCGATGGCGATCCTCACCGTCGGATCACGGATCTCGCTGAAATCTACGGTCCAGTCATGGGGATGCGTCTCGGCCGAACCCCAACGGTCGTCCTCTCCTCCCCAGCCGCAGCGCGTCAGGTTTTGCGGGATGCTGACATGGCATGCGCGTCGCGCCCCGCGGCGATCACATCCGCGCTATTAACTCACGGACCGCGCGATCTCGTGTTCGCGCCGTACGGACCGTCTTTTGTGCATCGGCGGAAGCTCGCCACGAGCCACCTATTCACGGCGGAGCGCATCGCGGCTTGGCGCGGAGTGCGGGAGGACGAGGCGGACGGGATGGTGACTGCGGTAGTCGACGAAATCGCCGCGGCAGAAAAAGGGGCGGAAAAATCGCGGGGAAAAGCGGCGGGGGAAGCGGGGGGGGGAGCCGGGGAGGGAGCGGCTGAGCAAGCGGAGAGTTCCGCGTGGGCGGAAGTGGAGATCCGCCCGCATCTCGCGCGCGTGTCGTTGAACAACATCCTCCGCATGAGCTGCGGGCGGCGGTACCAGTTCAGCCGCCCGGGAAAGCCGGACGCGCTCGCAGACGAAGTTAACTCCGTGATCTTCAAGATCGCGGGGCTGTTGGGCCCGTTTAACTACGTCGACCACGTGGCGGAATGGGATTGGTTCGATAAGTGGACTGGGGGCCTGACAGCCAAGTGCCGCGTGCTTGCGCCGAAGCTGCAGAAATTCTTTAGAGGGGTGTTGGACGATCACCGTAGAATGCGGAGGGAGGAGGAGGGGAAGCGGGCGAAAGAGGCGGAAGCAGCAGCAGCGGAAGCAGCAGCGGCGGAAGCGGCGGCGACTGGAGCGGACGGGGAGGGTGAGAAGCGGCGCGGAGTGATGGAAGATGCGTCGACGTTTGCGCCGCTTGAAAACCCGGAGGATCCGGAGAGGGACTTTCTGGATGTGCTGCTGATGCTGCAGAAACAGCAGCAGCAGCAGCAGCAGCAGCAGCAACAACAACAAAAGCAAACGAATGGCTCTACAGGGGCTGATTGTAAGGATTCTACAGCTGTAGCAGGTTCAGTGAAGGAGGGTTTAGGGGTTGGGAGAACCCCAGTTGCCCAGGCGGCAGCAGCGGGAGCAGCGGCGGCAGCCGGTTCGGGATTGGTGGTAGATGACGTCGAAATCACGTCCTTGCTACAGGATCTGCTTGTAGCGGGTACAGACACAGCAGCAGTGAGCACAGAGTGGGCGTTAGCAGAGCTGGTGAACAGACCCGATGCAATGAAGCGGCTACAAACGGAGATAGACGACGCCTTAGAACAGTGGCACAGAGACCAGGAGACGGATGGGAATGAATCGCAATCTGATCTCGATGCAGCCTGGGAAAAAACCGGAGGCGAGGCGTTACTCATGCGGTTACCCTATCTCCAGGCCGTAGTTAAAGAAACCCTCCGCTTGCACCCGCCAGGCGCGTTCTTAATCGCCCATAGCACCACTGGGCCCGTGGATCTGTGCAGCGGCAGGTATAGAGTCCCCGCAGGCACCATGGTGCTAGTTAATGTCTGGTCTATCTCGCGCGACCCGATCCTGTGGCCCGAGCCTGATAGGTTCATCCCAGAGCGGTTCCTGCCCGGCGAAGTTTTCGAGCTGCCCGAGAGTGCAAGTGGGGGCAGAGACCGTGCCAGCAGGCTTGGAGCAGGAAAAACATGGGGGGGGGCACGGAAAGGGAAGGAGGTAGGGGGAGGCGGAGGGGGGGGAGCAGGGGGGCCCGTGCAGCGGATTGTGGGGGAGGAGGTGGATATGAGGGGGTTTGACTTCCGCCTGCTGCCGTTTGGGTCGGGGCGGCGCATGTGTGTGGGGCAGCGGCTGGGGCACCAGCTGGTTACCATCATGCTGGGACGCCTCGTGCACGCTTTCCACTGGGAAGCCCCCGCTGCAGGCTGTAACGGAGGTGATTCTAACGGGAGTGGCGATAACGGGGGCGACTGTAAGAAGGTGGATCTTAAGGAGCGGTATGGGCTGGCCATGAGGATGGTGAAGCCCCTGCAGGCACGGGCTTCACTGCGAGCGGGCGGGGATGGGAGGCGGGCGGCTGAGGCGTGGGGGGTGAAGAGGCTGGGAGGGGGAGCAGGCAGGAAGTAGGGTCTTGGAGACTTGGGGCCTAATCCTGGCCATGGGGATGGTGCAGTGAAGGCGCGTGCGTCACTGCGAGTGGGCGGGGATGGGAGGCGGGCGGCTGAGGCGTGGGGGGTGGGGAGGAGAGCAGGCAAGAAGTAGGGGTTCAGGCTGTTGGTCGGTGCCATGGGAATTCGAGTGGTACTGGATGTGTGGAGGTATGAGCTGGCTTAGGGAATGGTATGGTGCAGTGAAGGCGCGTGCGTCACTGCGAGTGGGAGGGGATGGGAGGCGGGCGGTTGAGGCGTGGGGGGTGGGGAAGAGAGGAGGCGAGAAGCAGGGGGTTGCAGCTTGCAGCTATGCGCTGGTGTCAGTGTTGGCATTGGGTGCAGTGCTGAGTGGGTGGGGAGGGAAGGTTGGCTGTCGATTGGGAGAGAGGGCGGGATGAGCAGCAGCCTGCAGGACGCACTGTTAATGGTAGCGCCTCTTTTTCTAAGGGGAGTCTTTTATAGGCTCCTGGAGCAGCGAGGCGTCTAAGAGGATGGATGATGTGTGTGGTGCTGGTCTGTGGGGGGTTTGGGACGAAATTGTTTCCATGGAGGGATGCAATGCATCATGATGCAATGCAACTGAGATAGTTTGGGAGAGGCATGGAGCACAAAAGGGAGGCCTGGTGGTTAGGGTTATAGAGGAAGAGCAGGGGTTGGACGTCCCATGGTGATCCCTTCCCAGGCTGGGTCGTGCCATACAAGCCTGCTGTGCTGGAGCCTCTGGCTTGGCCGCTGAGGAGAGGAGGGCACCAGCAGCAGCCGGAAGGCTTGACAGACAGGTTCTAGAAATGTAGCAGTTCTCTGAAATTGTAGCCGTGCTTCGCTGAAATTGAATGGCGATGACCTGCTTCGCAGGAATATACGTTATGCACCATGAACAGTCAAATGTCATTATTGTTCATTGTGTTATGGCTGATGGTAAGGCAGTGCCACGAGGGGCTAAGCTGGATGATGACGGGTATGAACTGGACCAATCCGAGTGCAGGGGTAGCTTTGTTGTCACCTGTCTGCAAGATGGGTCCTGTCCCATGCTGAAGAATGAGCCCTCTAGTGTGGGCTTGTAGCAATACGGCTGTTACCAGCTCACAATGCTTCTAAAGCTGCTCTGATCTGCTCCAGAGGTTCTGATTAGGGTGAGACACAAGGGCATGAGTACCGTATTCCACCTGATCAGATCTGATCTGCTCTGATCTGATCCGATCTGATCTGCTCTGATCTGATCCGATCTGATCTGCTCTGATCTGCTCTGATCTGATCTGCTCCTCCACCCTGCACTGCACCTTCACTCCATCCATGCATAGCCGTGTGAGGCACAAGATACGACCCACCTCTATGCGCTCCACCCTGCCAATCACCATCCTAGTATTCATGTAGGTGTGAGTGCAGAATTGCTTTAAGTAGCATCCAGGGGCTTCAGCCGTGTGAGACGAAGGATGCGATCCACCTCCATGTGCTCCACTCTCCCCTGCGCTATCACCTCGTCCAGACACAGACAAACCTTGCCGTACCGGTCCAGCAGGGCGGCCTGGGTTGGCGTGCGCTTACAGGCTGCTCGCAGCAAGTCAAGAATCATCGTGAGGATCTCAGACACTGGAATTTGACAAGTGGGCGGGCAAGAGGGTGGGAGGAAGGGTGGGGGAGTAGGGGGGGGGGGGGGGGGGAGGGAAGGAGGAGGGGGGGAGAAGGGGAGACAGATGCCGTTTGAGTCGACTATAAAAGCTCGCAGCACGCAGCAAGTGGAGAACCATAGTGCAGATTCCCTATTCTAGGATTGCGCAGGTTAGGAGAAGGGGATGCAACAGGGGGCAGAAAAAGTCAGACGGGACTCAGCCAGAATGTGCAGGACAGATGTACCACCTCAGCAGAGGCACTGTCAGCTCACCATGCACACAAGCCAGCTCATTATACTCACATGCCAGCTCATCGTATTCGTCATCCCCAATAAGGTATATGTGGATGTCAGCAATGGCGGTGTAGACCACGTAGGTGTTGCTGGGATGGGGGAAACGAATGGGGGTTGGGATTTGGAATAGATTTGGATGAGAGTGTGGGGGGGATCGGATCAAGGCGAGATGAGCAATGGGGAGTCTATTTTTGAGGCGCCTCAAAAATCCGATCCAGGCGAGATGACCAATGGGGAACGAATGGTGAGGCTTTCTTGTAATGAGGTAGATGTGGATGTCTGCAATGGCGGTGTAGACCACATGCACATATGTGTTGCTGGGATGGGATGGCGTAGAGGGAGCGGGACAAAACGAATAAGAAAAGCCACAGGTGCCAGCGATGGCGGTGTAGACTGCATAGGTGTTTCTGGGATGGGATATGTGTTGCACGAGAAGGGGGGGGGGAGTGAAGAACAAGACTGGTGTCAGGTGTCAGGTCAGCAATGCCACCTACTTGTAACACTTACTTGTAACACTTACTTGTAACACCTACTTGTAACACCTACTTGTAACACTTACCTGTAACACCTACTTGTAACACCTACTTGTAACACCTACTTGTAACACTTACTTGTAACAGGCCACGAATTGTTCCTCAGGCACTGCAGCCATGAGGTTGCCGTGGCCCATCTTGAACAGAAACTTCAGGTACTGGCATAGAAAACTCAACTCTTTTAACGGACAGCTACTTGTAACACTTACTTGTAACACCTACTTGTAACACTTACTTGTAAAACTTACTTGTAACAGGCTACAAATTGCTCTTCAGGCATTGCAGACATGAGGTTATTGTGGCCCAGCTTGAAAAGAAACGCCCGCCATTGACCTCACTTAGGGCTTAGGCTTGGTGACAGCCCGTGATAAGACCTCTTATGTCCATGTAACACTTTCTTATAGCACTTACTGATAGCAGGCCACGAATTGCTCTTCAGGGGTTGCAGTCATGAGGTTATCGTGGCCCAGCTTGAACAGGAACTTTAGGAACTGGCATAACACACTCACCCCTACCGACAGCTACTTGTAACACCTACTTGTAACAGGCCACGAATTGTTCCTCAGGCACTGCAGTCATGAGGTTATCGTGGCCCAGCTTGAACAGGAACTTTAGGAACTGGCATAACACACTCACCTCTACCGACAGCTACTTGTAACACCTACTTGTAACAGGCCACGAATTGTTCCTCAGGCACTGCAGTCATGAGGTTATCGTGGCCCAGCTTGAACAGGAACTTTAGGAACTGGCATAACACACTCACCTCTACCGACAGCTACTTGTAACACCTACTTGTAACAGGCCACGAATTGTTCCTCAGGCACTGCAGTCATGAGGTTATCGTGGCCCAGCTTGAACAGAAACGCCCGCCACTGGCCTCGCTCATCCGCTGACAGCCCGTGGAATCTGATTGGCCAGATGCATCAGGGTATAGAAGGGAGATCGGAGCACGGACTTGAGAGCAAATTTCGCCTGGATAGAAATCTTTACTCCCTCCTCTCGTCCTTGTCCTTCGAGACATTTCGTTTGTTGTTCTTAAAGCCAGGGTCTCAAGTACCGAGATCTGGCAGCAACTGCAAAACAGTTGCTGTGTGGTTACCCCGTTTTGAGTGCGCGAAATCGCAATTTGCCCGCTGTGCGACACAACCCCTTTTGCCCCAAGACCATATGCAAAACAACTTCTAGGTACTCGAGACTTTTGAGTTTCCACGGGGGGGTTTGCGGCCGTTGTAGGCTTGGTAACCGAACCAAGCCCGTGCCTAGCTGGTTCGGCTTTGTAAAACGAAACCCAATCGAACTCGCCACCCGTCGTCAAAACTCCAACCAAACTTTGCACGTCGTCAGCCAATCCCAACCAACCCCTGACTCCAACTGCAAAACAGTTGCGGTACTTGAGACCCTGGCTTTAAGGTAGACCAGCTGACAATGTCACGGTGAAGCATGGTGAAGCATGGTGGAGCATGGTGGGGGAAGCACTACGAAGACCACGATGTCACAGAGACGCATGGAGTGTCGTATGGGGAGGAGGGACGGACGAGCAGGAGAGAGGGAGGAGGAGTGTGAGCGGAGTGGAGTGGAATGGAGTGGAGTGGAGTGGAGTAGGGAGATCACGAGGGGATGAGGGAGAGGATATCTGACATGGGGGTAAGAATGATGAAACAGACCAGCTTTCTTTCCTTCCCCATCTGCGAGCTCCTTACCTTTCTAGAAGAATATTTCCCGACTTATTCGTTATAAGCAGGCACTTGAACATGTCTGCTCCACACTGAGCCTAATTTTCGCGATATAAGCGCTACGACTGGCAAAATCGGGCTACTTTTCGATCGCTAATCTCCGCAACTCCGCTGAATCGCTTCAGGCACGAAAGCGTTAGGTTCGCGACAGTAACTATCCGTGACGCTCAGTAGTTCTTGACGTCAAGTGTACAAATACTCATGAGTGATATCAGCCTATGTAGCATTAATGTCTCCACCACATAACACGCCAGACACTTCAGGCCTCGCTAGTAAGAGCGACGCGCACCGACGGCCAACACGAGAACCACGCGAGAACCAAACTTGCGGCTGCACGAGAACGAGAGCAGCGGTACTTTTAGTAGTCACGCAAATTTAGGCTGGAATTCGAACAACGCGAATCACGATTATGAAGGAATCAGAACTTCGGGAGACCCTGTGCTTCCCCTGTAAGCTGAGTCGGTACAGTACGTTGAGTTTTCTATCTAAATTACAAAAGGTGTAGAAGTCTAAGATTTCAACTCCGAGTTACTTTCTCACACTATACATAACTGGCTGTTTTATTACCTATATATCAATAGAACAAGCAACAACTGCATTTGGCAGTTTAGGGAAGCGCCCACTTTCATCCATCTCCTTGAGCAGCCTTTCCACTTCACCCGGTTTCAACGCCTTGTAGTACCGTACTTCCCCACTCCCATGCCCCTTGACATTACACGCAGGCAGGCTCCCTGTCGCCATCTCCTCACATCTTCTCCCTCAGCAGTCTTTCCACTTCAACCGGTTTCAACGCCTTGTACTTCCCCACTCCCAGGTCCCTAGGCAACCGCAACGACCCAATCCGAACCCGCTTCAAACCAAGCACCTCCAAACCAGCTGCCTCGGCAAGCCGCCGAACTTCCCGATTCCTCCCCTCCGCCACAACCACCCGCACCCTTTCTCTCCCCTTCCCCACCCCCCCTCCCCCTCCCCCACTTCCTCCTTCACTATCCGTTACAAGGTCTAGGGCAACAGGGGCGCAGTGAACCCCATCCACGTCCGTCCCTGCTGCCATGGTCGCCAGCTGGCGCTTGGTGATTGGTCCCTGAACTGTGAGAACGTACCTGCAAGAGGAGACAGGCGGGCAGCGAAAAACGGAAGTGAAAAGAAAGTTGAAATCGGAGGGGCAAAGGAAGTCAAAACCAGAGAAGGGAAAGCGACGACACACTGGGGGAGTTGAAAATGGAGAGGGGGAGTCGCCAGGTAAGGATACCAGGCAGGGAATTGACCTCAGGGCGAGGAGAGAATGGGAAGGGATGGGACGAGCCGGGAAGGGATGCTGAGGGAAACAGGAAAGAGGTGGTTATTAGGGGCAAGCGGGTGGAATGTGTAGCGACGGTGAGTTGAGGGCAATAGGTAAGGCGAGGGAGAGACAGGGAGTGAGGCCGAAGCCCAGACTCACTCTTTCGTCAGGCCAGCAGAGGGATGAGCGATCTGCTGCGCGAAATTCCCGTCGTTGGTAACCAGCAGCAGCCCTGTCGTCTGCACGTCCAGCCGCCCCACAGTGAACAGCCTCGGCCTGGGGATGCCCGCATTCCGCTTCTCCCACACCTTCAAATACTCCTCCACTAAACTAATCGCCGTCTTCTCACTACCGCCAATACCGGCGCCGCTGCCGCTATCGCTCGAATCGGCATTAAACCTTGAACCCTCAACCCTGGCTGCTCTTCCTTTGGCGCTATTCCTACCGTCGCGACTGGAGGGGTTAGGCGATTGAGGGGAGAAGGAACGCGACGAGGAAACTTCCTGCTGGGGCGGATTGGAGCAGATAAACCCCTTGGGTTTATTCACCATGAAATAGAGCCGCGGCGGCGCCTTTCGCGGGAGCGATTTCCCATCCACGTAGATCGAATCTTTCATGGGATCGACGGCTGTTTGCGGTACTATACACTTGCTGCCGTTTACGGTAACCCGCCCGGCGAAAATTATGTCTTCGCACGCGCGCCTGGAGGCGATTCCCGCGGCGGCGAGGACTTTACTCAGCCGCTGCCCGCGCTGCGCCGCTTCCCGCTCCGCGCTGCGGAAGCGCTCGTTGAAAAATCGCCGCGCGGCCTTGGAGTAGCGCGGAGCGGAGGTCGGTCCCGCGGGTTTCTCCCGCGCGCTTGGCCTGCTGCTTGCGCCGCTGCTGGTGGAGGCGCTGCTCTTTTTAGGGGAGCCCGCGGGAGACTTGGCGGAAGAAGCGGGGGTGGCGGACGGGGAAGGGGAAGGGGAAGGGGAAGGGGAAGGGGAAGCGGGTTCAAGGGGGGGTCGCTGCGTGGTGAGCGAGAGCTGGCCGGCCGGGGAGAATACAAGGAGCGGAACGGCGGGTCTGCCTCTAACGGGGCCGCCACTAACGGGAGAGCTGCTACTAGAGGGCTGTCTGCTGCTGGTGCTGCTCTCACTGTGGCCCCCCCTCCCCCCTCCGGTTCCGCCGCCGCCGCTGCCGCCGTCGCTTGCGGAAGCAGTGGTGATAGATTTGGCCAAAGAGGGGGTTTGCCAGCTGTCCACGTGGCAGGGGATGGCCCGTGGCACGAATAAAGTCGCGCCACGTTGGAAGGGGGAGCGCGCGGAGCTGGAGAGGGAAGGAAGGGAGCGCGCGGATAGTGATCTACTGGGGAAGGTCGTATTTAGACTGGCGTTAGTTGACAGCGAAGTAACAGCGAGCCGCTTTACGACAGCGGAGGATGCGGCGAGGTGGTGCGACACGGACTGCCACGAGCCAGCCATGGCGATGGCGACAATGGCGAACAATAACGACAACGGCGACAGAGTCGCCAAGGGAGCTGGTTTCGCACAGCGTCCTAATCAAGCTCCAAATCGCTCAAAACAGACAAGGACGAAGCATAAGGAGCAGATAGATAAGAGCGAATAAAGGAGAAGGTGACAAAGCATAGAGCAGGGATAGGGCGCTGAGCCAAGGAGCAATGACTCAGAGGAAGGATGTGCCTCCGCAGAAGAAAGCTGTCCCACTGTAGCTCGCCTCGCTTCGCGATAACATCAGGAGAGGGATTGGAAAGTACATTTTGCGATTTTCGCATCGCTCGGAAAATACACTTCTTGAATTTACATTTGTAATCATACATCAAGCCATAAATAATTATTATTAGGTTAGGAGCAGGGCTGACGTTTCAAAAAAGGGCACTCTGAGCCAACCCCCCCCAAAAAAAAAATAGTCTGAAGGGCCTTCAGCCGAAATTTTTGTAGTCTGAAATGTCAGGGTCCAGAACTCAGCGAGTCTGATTTTTTCAGGGTCCAGGACGTACAACCAGAGTCAAACACGGGAAACACCCCCACAGCGAGAAACTTCCCTCCCTCCTACACCTCCCAAAAATTCGGCTAAGTCCCTTGCAGCCATAAAAAATCCTCCCACAGCACGCGTCCCCCCCCAACCAGCAACCTTGTTATACCCTCGTTTTGCGTAGTTGTTAAATGTGGGAAACGGGGAAGTCATTCCTAAAAACCGAGGGGGTTAAATCGCACTGCCACGGAAAACGAAACTGAGGAGAGGGGGAATCGAAACTGACGGGGAAATGGGGAGGGAATCAAAATGGAGGGGAGGGGGGAAGCGAAACGAAGGGGAGGGGGGGAAGGGGGGGGCGGTCGAAACGGAGAGGATGGGGGAAGCGAAACGGAGAGGAAGGGGGAAGTGATTGAAACAGAGGGGAGGGGGGGGGATCGAAACGGCAGGGAGGGGGGAAGCTGGGGAATAGGACGGTGGGAGAAATTTCGAGCCCTTGCAGCGTCCCGGTGGGGAAATCTTGGACGTTAATCACAACATAACATCGAACGATTGATATATGTCGAAACGATCGCAAACGATCGTGACCGTTACATTTTGGTAGACTTTTAGTTGACCAAACGGGCAACTGGCGAGAATTTCCCTATGTTAAAAATGCGGAATTTACTCTCATTCAAATGCAGTTAAAAAAAAAATGTGAAAGTCTCATTCAAAACTTCTGGGTTGTTCCAGGTGTTAGGGAGGACTGTATCTGACAACATGACTTAGTCGAAATTTAAGGTGGGTTGTGGGGTGTGTGGGGGATGTCTCTAGTGTTCCGGGACTTCGCCGAAATTTTAGATGGGTTGTGGGGTGTGGGGTGGGGGTTGTTGTCAACTTATACATATTATCTATGTAGAAGTTATAGGCTAGACTGAGGTATGCTTCTAGTGAGTACAACCAACTAGTATTTGTTCTAGGTTTCCACTTTAGTCATTATTCGTTTCTACGTTAACATGGTATCACGCTTAGGTTAGGATCCCCCCGCCTACCGCTTCCGCCCGTCGCGCCTCCTAGGCCCCGTCGCGCCCCCTAGGCCCCGTCGCGCCCCCCCTGGGCCCCGTCGCGCTCGTTAGGCCCCGTCGCGCCCCCCCTGGGCCCCGTCGTGCCCGCTGGGCCCCGTCGCGCCTCCTAGGCCCCGTCGCGCTCCCCCTGGGCCCCGTCGCGCCCGCTGGGCCCAGTCGCGACCCCTAGGCCCTAACGCGCCCCCGCTGGGCCCCGTCGCGCCTCCTAGGCCCCGTCGCGCCCCCCATGGGCCCCGTCGAGCCCGCTGAGCCCCGTCGTGCCTCCTAGGCATCGTCGCGCCTCCTCAGCCCCGTCGCGCCCCTCCTAGGCCCTATCGTGCCCGCTGGGCCCCGTCGCGCCTCCTAGGCCTCGTCGCGCCCCTCTGGGCACCGTCGCACCCGCTGGGCCCTGTTGCGCCTCCTAGGCCCTGTCGCGCCCGCTGGGCCTTTTCGCGCTTCCTAGGCCCCGTCGCGCCTGCTAGGCCCCGTCGCGCCCCCCCTGGGCCCCGTCGCGCCCGTTAGGCCCCGTCGCGGCCCCCCTGGGCCCCGTCGTGCCCGCTGGTCCCCGTCGCGCCTCCTCGGCCCCGTCGCGCCCCCCCTGGGCCCCGTCGTGCCCGCTGGGCCCCGTCGCGCCCCTTAGGCCTCGTCGCGCCCGCTGGCCCCTGTAGCGCCTGCTGTTAGCGCTCGCCCGCCTGGCCTCCTCCTAGTGCCGCTCGGCCTCCTCCTAGTGCCGCCCGGCCCCCTTCCTAGCGCCGCCCGGCCTCTCCTCAGCGCTGCCCGGCCCCTCCTCGTGCCCGACCGGCCCCAGCAGCACCAGCCTGGCCCCTCCCAGCACCAGCCCGGCCCCAGAGCACCTGCCCGCCTCCCCTGCTCGGCCTGCCGTGTCCTCTCGGGCCCTGTGTCTTCTGCTCGCCTGCGCTGGGACGCCTAGCTGCTGCCCTACTGGAGAGTGCTGCCGCCGTGTCCCCGCGCCGCTGTGCTCCTGTGCCGCTGAGGAGCTGTGCCGCTGTGCCGCTGTGTCGCTGAGGAGCTGTGCCGCTGACCCTGCACGATGGCTGACTTTGTGCTCCGCCTGGACGCTGAGGGCCACGCGGTTGACTTCGCCGCCTGGCTCTCCGATCTCCGCCGCCAGCTTACAGGTCAGCGCCAGGATGGCCACTCTCTGATTGTCCATGCTGATGGCTTGCTCCCCCGCCCCCCTGCACCTACTCCCCTCCCTGCTGACCCCTCCTCTGATGACCGTGAGGCTTTCTCTACTGCTGCGCTGGCCTGTGCGGTCTGGGACTCACGCGATGCAGTAGCTCAGGTTGCTATTAGTCACGCCCTCCCTGTGTCTGAGCGCTCGCGTTTTGCTACTGTTGAAACGGCCAAAGCTTATTTAGACGCCGTTATTGCTCGCTATTCCACCCCTGCCTCCGCTTCTGCTGGCCGCTTGCTCTTTCCGATGCTGTTCCCAGACCTGGCTGCCTTCCCTACTGTCGCAGACTTTGCCACTCATTTGCGTGCCCTAGAGACTCGCTATCGCACTGCCAGCACTGCTGCCCAGCTAACTGCGCTCCCCCCTCCTTTCTGCATGACGCTCTATTTTATCGCTATGCGCCTGCCAGACCGCCTCGCTAGTGCTCGCGACCACTTTCTTAGCCAGCACCCGGGTGACCTCACCCTGACCGCCTTTGTCGACACCCTCACTGAGATCGAGACTCGCCAGCGCACTATCGCTCAGTCGAGCGGTGCGCCGGCAGTCTCTATCTTTCACGGCTGTGCCCCATCCCAGTGCACGTTCACTGACGTTTCGGCTGCGGTCGCCACGGCGACCCGTCTTACCGAGACGGCTGCTGCTGTCCACCCGCAGCAGCGCTCACGTCGTGGTGGCCGTGGCCGCCAGGGAGGTAGGGGTGGTGACGCAGGTGGTGGTGGTCGTGGTGGTGGTGACGGTAGTCCGCCTGAGGGGACTACCACCGGTGGGCAGGAGCAGCAGCCCCAGCAGCAGCAGGACCAGCCCCAGCCGCAGCCGCCGTCTCAGCAGCACCCGCCGCAGCCGTGGGCTCGTCTCCCGCCTGGTTGGCCCGGCACCTCCGGAGGCGGTGGCCGTGGTGGCGGCCCGCGCAGCTTGGCGTCTACCAGCGGCTCCAGTGCTGTGACCTGCCAGTACCAGCTTCAGACAGGGCCTCTCCGCGGCACTCTGTGCCGCCGCCCGCACCCGACCGCCCGCTGTTTCCGCCGCCTCGACGATCTTTTTCGTCGTCGCTTTGGCCCGGCCCCGGACCTCCCTGACTGGCACAGCCTGCTCCGCCAGGGCGTGCCGATCTTTGAGTTAGACATGGATCAGATAGGTGCTGCTTTGCATGCTTTGTATGCTGACGCTTCTAGTGTTGCTGGATCTTACTACCCTGAGTACTCTAGTTTAGGTGTTTCACCCTTGTGTAGCTTAGCTTCCCCTGCTGCGTCAGGCGTAGGACTGCCTAGGTTGCCTAGCCTAGCTTCTGCACCCGCCCCGTCCCCGGCCTCTGCCACTGCCTCGCTGTCCTTCACGCTCGACTCCGGTGCTTCTGCCTGTTTCTTCCGTGACCGATCCACGCTCACGCCGCTTGCTGCACCTGCGGTTGTCTCCCTCGCTGACCCCTCTGCCGGTCCTGTCGTCGCTCGCAGTTCCACTTCCCTTCCCTGTCCAGCCGTTCCCTCGGGCTCTCTTACAGGCTTCCACGTTCCCTCGTTCTCCAGGAACCTGGTTGGTGTCGGCCGTCTTCAGGACCTCGGCGTCACCACCACGTTCCCTGGGCACGAGCGGTTCGCTGTCTGTACCGAGGCAGTCTCAGGTTCCCCTCTTGCGACGTTCCCCCGGGACCCGGTGTCTGGTCTGTTTACCCTCGACACCGCTTCCCCCCCGGTTGGTGCGTCCTCCCAGGTCGCTGCAGCTTGCTCGTGTCGGTCCCTCACTCACCCGTCCCTTCTCTGGCACCACCGCTTAGGTCACCCTGCTCTCCCACGTCTGTGTCACATGTCTCAGCACGGTCTTGTCTTAGGCCTCCCCGCGTCGCTCCCTGCCCTCCCACCCTCGACTGCGCCACCGTGCACGCCTTGCGTCGAGGGTCGGCTCCGCCGTGCTCCTCACTCCTCCTCGCTGCGTCCTGCTACTGCCCCCCTTCAGACCCTGCACCTGGACGTTTGGGGCCCTGCCCCCGTCCCCGGACAGCGCGGTGAGCGCTACTTCCTTGTGCTCGTCGACAACTGCACGCCCTACACCACGGTGTTTCCCCTGGAGCGGAAGGCCGACGTGCCCGACGTTCTTCTCCCGTGGGTTGTGGCTGCGCGTCTCCACCGCGGTCTCCCCGTGTTGTGTCTCCACTCCGACCGTGGCGGCGAGTTCGCCTCTGGTCGGCTTGGACAGTTCTGTCGTGCGGAGGGCATCACCCAGTCGTACACCTTGCCGGACTCGCCACAGCAGAATGGGGTTGCTGAGCGCCGCATCGGCTTGGTCATGGAGGTCGCCCGTACATCCATGATCCATGCCGATGCCCCCCATTTTCTGTGGCCGTTCGCTGTTCGCTACGCTGCTCACCAGCTTAACCTGTGGCCACGCTCCCAGCGGCCGCAGGTTTCGCCGACCCTCCTTTGGACCGGGTCCCCCGGTGACGCGTCTGCGTTCCACGTCTGGGGCTGCCTTGCTCACGTTCGTGCCTCTGGCACGGACAAGCTCACTGCCCGCACTGTCCCCTGTGTCTTCCTCGGTTTCCCCCTGGACTCGTCTGACTGGCTCTTCTATCACCCGCCGTCTCATTGCTTCCTGCACTCTCGTGACGTCACCTTTGACGAGTCCGTCTCCTTCTACCGCCGCTTCCCTCACCGAGGTCTCCCAGTTGCCCCCCCCCTGTTCCTTGCTCCCTCTCCCCCAGTAGCCCCTGCCCCTCTCCCGCCTCGTCCTGCCCCGTCTGGTGTCTCTCACGTCACTCCCCTCCCGTCGGTTGTCCCCGTTGAGGAGTCTGCTGACTCTGGTGGTACCCCCGGTCCGTCCTTGCCGCGTCCCCCTTCCCCGGTGCCTCCGCCCCCACTGTCGCAGTCGCCGACCCCGCTGCCGCCGCCGTCGCCGTCGCTGCCGCAGCCGTCGCCGCTGTCGCGGCCGCCGCAGCCGTCGCAGCCACTGCCGCCGCCGCTCTTGGCCCCTGGGGGTGCTGGTGTGGAGGAGGGTGTTCGTCCTGCGGCTTCTGGGGGTGCCGCTGGTGTTGGAGGGGGTTCTCGCTCTGGGGGTGTTGGTTCTGGGGGTGCTGCTGTTGAGTGTTCTGCCGACGGTCGTTCTGCCTCTGCTGGTCCGAGAGTTCCGGCCCAGCCGTCGTCGCCGCCGCAGCAGCCGTCGCCGCCGGTCTCCGCTCTCCGCCTGCTCGGCCTTCCCTCCCCGGACCGCGCGCCGGTGTCTCCCCCACCGCCTGCTGACCTTCCTGTCTACGGTCCTGTGTTCCCGCCGCCGGACTCGTCTCCGGCCCGTCTTCCTCCTCGTTCCCCTCCTGTGTCTCCTCCGCTGTCTCCTGACCCTACACCTCTGTCTCACGTTTGGGCTCGCCGTCCCTCCCGTGCTCGTCCCGTCTCTCCTGTCCTGCCCTCCCACCCTATGTTGCTCCGTTCCCGCTCGTCTCGTCCTCCCCTCCTCCCGTCCCCTCCTCCCTCGTCCCTTGCTGTTGCACCTCCTCCGTTCTCTGACTACCTCCGTGCTGCTCGTCCCCTTGTCCCTCGGGTCCTTGCCTCTCTTGTTACCGACCCTGCTGTTCCTGTCTCGCGCCTTGACGCGCTTGTCGCTGCTGTCGCTGACTTCGCCTCTACCCGCCGCCTTGACTACGCTACCGCTCTGGTCTCTGACCCTGCCCGTCCTCCGTCCGTCGGGGGTGCTCCTGCTCTTGGCAGTGACGTCCTAGAGGACAGGCAGTACGAGCTGGCTTTCCTTTCCGAGGCTGCTCCCCATCTCTGCTCCATGCTGTTAGTCCCTGAGGGTGACCCAGACGCCTTCGACATCCCGACCCCTCGCACCTACGCTGAGGCCACCTTGGGACCTTGGGCCTCTCAGTGGATAGCTGCCATGGAGCAGGAGATGGCATCTTGGAGGTCCACCGGCACTTACGTCGACGCAGTTCCCCCGCCTGGGGTGAACGTAGTCGATGGTCGGTGGCTCTTCAAGGTGAAGCGCCCCCCTGGAGAGCCGCCTGTCTTCAAGGCGCGCTACGTGGCCAGAGGTTTCAGTCAGCGCGAGGGGGTTGACTTCTTCCAGACCTTCGCCCCGACCCCGAAGATGACCACTCTTCGGGCGCTGCTACAGGTAGCAGCACAGCGCGACTACGAGCTTCACTCCCTCGACTTCTCTACTGCCTTTCTTCAGGGCAGCCTACACGAGCAGGTCTACCTGCGCCGACCACAGGGCTTCACTGGTACCTTCCCTCGTGGGACCCAGTGGCTTCTCAGGCGCCCGGTCTACGGCCTGCGTCAGGCTCCCCGCGAGTGGCACGACACGCTACGTGCCACGTTAGCAGACCTGCAGTTCTTTCCGTCCTCTGCTGACCCTTCACTGTTTGTGCGTTCCGGCCAGACTCCGTTCTACATCCTTGTCTACGTAGACGACCTGGTCTTCGCTACTCCTGACAGGGACGCACTGGCCTCTGTGAAGGCTGAGCTGCTGAAGAGACACACCTGCACTGACCTTGGAGAGCTGCGTCGCTATCTTGGCCTGCAGATCTCTAGGGACAGAGCAGCACGCACCATCACTCTGACCCAGTCACACTTGGTGCGTCAGGTCCTTCAGAGGTTCGGTCTTCAGTTCTCCTCCGCACAGCCCACACCTCTACCCGTAGACCATGGGCTCTCTGCTCCCGTTCCTGAGGAGCCAGTAGAGCCCAGTGGCCCCTACGCAGAGCTGGTGGGTTGCCTCATGTACCTGATGACTTGCACTCGCCCAGATCTCGCATACCCTCTCAGCATCCTGGCTCGCTTTGTGGCTACAGGCAGACACCGACCTCAGCACTGGTCTGCCGCTAAGAGGGTTTTGCGTTATCTTGCTAGTACATCAGGCATGGGGTTAGTGCTAGGAGGACGCAGGCCAGTGGTCCTTACTGGGCACACAGACGCTTCTTGGGCAGACGACGCTGAGACGCTCAGGTCGTCGCAGGGCTACTGTTTCAGCCTTGGTTCGGGTGCTATCTCTTGGAGATCCACTCGCTCGTCGTCTGTGGCTCAGTCTAGCTGTGAGGCTGAGATCTACGCTGGTGCCATGGCGGCACAGGAGCTCCGCTGGCTGACCTTCTTGCTCACAGACTTAGGTGAGCGGCCTAGCTCTGCCCCGGTCCTGTACGCTGACAACAGGGCCATGATACTCCTGTGTCAGGAGCCTCGGCTTGAGGGCAGAGCGAAGCATATCCAGCTGCGGTACTTCCTCCTGTGCGAGCTACAGCAGCGCCGCCAGGCCCGCGTAGTTCACTTGGCCTCAGGTGCCAACACAGCTGATATCTTTACTAAGGCGCTTGCGCCTAAAGATTATCAGCGGCACTGTGTACAGCTTGGTCTAGTTCCTGTAGCTGCTCCCCTGTTAGGATCCTGATTGTGTACTCTCTATTATATATGCTTGTCAGACTGGCCTTGTGGCCTTACCTCCAGTGGCTGGACTAGTAGTGCCACCCTGGCTTGCTTCAGTTTTGGTTGTTTTCTTGCTGACTGGTCGCCAGACCCCTGCCTCAGTGGTTGGACTAGTAGTGCCGCCCTGAGCTGTTTGCTTCTTGTTTAGTTTCACCGCTTGTCTAGCCTAGGGGGTGTGTCAACTTATACATATTATCTATGTAGAAGTTATAGGCTAGACTGAGGTATGCTTCTAGTGAGTACAACCAACTAGTATTTGTTCTAGGTTTCCACTTTAGTCATTATTCGTTTCTACGTTAACAGTTGTCTCTAGGGTTCGGGGACTTGGCCAAATTTTTTTAGGGGTTGTGGGGTGTGTGGGGCATGTCTCTAGCGATTGGGGACTTCACCAAAATTTCCGAAGGTTGGTACTAAACAGGTAATGAGTCAGGGTCTGTACGCGCTGTGCTCTGAAAACTCAGTACTGGGTTAGCGACAACTCTGATTTTCTCAGGATCCCTAGAATCGTACTCTGAAGGGATCAGGATTGAGAAAATGCCTTATCTGGAAATTCAGGTTTGGCCAAAAAACAGGTCTGAGATTTCAGACTAATCAGAGTAAATAGTCTGATAAAGTCAGGCCTGGTTAGGAGGTACACGCATGAGCTTCCTGCACACAAACATTTGCCAGCAAATCGAATGTCCACATTACCTTTCACCACATCACACCATAAATGATCACTACATCATATCCTCTGCATCACCGATGTTTCTGTTTTTCTCATTATTGCACTGTTCTTGACTCTTGCCTCACTAACCACTGGGCATTATAAGTTAACTGGTTAGCCGGTTATCTAGTACACCCACGTTAGAGAAACTGAAGTTCGCCGTGCCACTAAAGCAGCTCCATTGTCGCTATTCTTGCAGGTAGTCTTGCTAGGCCTTCACCACAAGGGCATCCATGCTAGGCCTACACCTCAGGTCGTCCTGCATGCACTCCTTGGCCCGCAGCATGTCCAGCATACGTATCCGCCTCGTCGCACTCCAGCATAATTTATGGCCCTGCTACGCCAGAAGTCCCCTCCCCACACTACTGTGCTTATAGCGAAGCGAGTCCTGCAGCCGCCGGAACAGCCTCGTCACAAGATCCTCCATACACCTGGGGTCGTCCTGCATGCATTCCTTGGCCAGCACGTCCAGCATGCGCACCACCATGTGCCTCCTCGCACCCCATCATAACTTAAGCCACTGGTGCCACATCACTAACCCTACTGTGCTTGCAGCGAGTCCTGCAGGCGGAACAGCCGCACGACAAGGTCCTCCATACTGGGTCGACACCTGGGGTCGTCCTGCATGCACTCCTTGGCCAGCACGTCCAGCATGCGCACCACCATGCGCCGAGTCGCACTCCCACACTCGGCGCTCCTAGCGAGGTCGTCCGTGTACGGCTCGGCCCAGTCGAAGAGCGCCTCGGCGCCCTGCTGCAGGGCTATGCTGTGCGCGCCCTGCCGGGCCGTTAGGAGTGAGAAGAGAATGACTCCGAAGTCAAACGAGTCCTTGCCCATGCCCTCGGATCCTGGAGGTAGGGAGAGGAGAGGGGAGGAGCGTCAGAAGGAAGGGAGGGTGCATGGTCGTCCGTGTACGGCTCGGCCCAGTCGGAGAGTGCCTCCGTGCCTCGCTGCTGGGCAATGCTGTCCGCGCCCTGCCTGGCTGTCAATAAACAGAAGAGCATTTGACAGGTGAAACTAGTCAAGGGCGGAATCTTCCCCATGCCCTCCCTCAAGACACAAGTAGGGGGAATCCCTTGTCAATTCATGCATTTGACAGCCAGGGAGTCAAAGGAGTCTAACATATGAAGGGAGGAGTCAGCTCACCCTTGAGGCTCTTCTTGGACGACCCTTTTGCCAGAATGGCTGCCAGTCCGTAGCCCGTCAGCAGGGCAGTGTAGCTCTGCACGTGGAAAATAAAAGTGAGGAAGGAAACGGGTCACGGAAGGGCAAGCACGGGGGGACATGGAAAACAAATGAGGAAGGGGATGCACGGATGGGCAAAGACAAGGACACGTGGTTGGTGGGAGGCACATGTGTGGGGATTCTGACAAACCATTACAGCATCCGTGCCAGATCTTTGCAGCAAATGCGATTGCATAGGAAAAAAAAAAGGCGCTCAACATGAACATTCCTTACTCGTTCTAAGCTCTTTGCTCATCGTATCTGGCATGACACTGCACCGCATGTGATTTCTGTGGAATAGTGGACTGAGAATGCATTCTCAGATACTGCAGATACTGCCCTTCATTCCAATCTATTCTACAGATACTGCAGATCCAACCATATGGGCCCTCATTCAAGGAACATTTCAGACTCGTTACAAGCGCACTTGACACTCATTATAAGCATGCCACTCACCGCGTCCAGCATGATGTTGCAGCACCTGAAGTTGCCGTGTACAACAGCATTGGAATGCAGGAAGCTGGCCATACCCGGTGTAAGCCCACTTAGAATCGTTATAAGCACACTCCATACTCGTTTCAAGCGCCCTGCTCACCGCGTCCAGCATGACGTTGCAGCACATGAGGTTGCCGTGCACAACGGCCTTCGAATGCAGGAACGCCAGCCCCTTGGCCACGCCGATGGCCACCTTCACCCGCACACGCAGAGGGAGGAAGTCGCCGTCCACGCCCTCTGGAACAGTTAAGGGTGTGAGGGGAATGGGAGGAAGGGGGATTGGAAAGGGTGTTGGAAAGGGTGTTGGAAAGGGGAATAGTCGCCGTCCACGCCAGCCCCTTGGCCACGCCGATCGCCACCTTCACCCGCACGCGCAGAGGGAGGAAGTCGCCGTGCACGCCCTCTGTTGGGGGAGAGAGAAGGGAATGGAGAGGGCAGGAAAGGGTGGGACGCGGATGCTTCATTCACAGGCAGTCCTATTATCCACAGCAGCCCCCCCTTGGCCACGCCGATCGCCACCTTCACCCGCACTCGCAGGGGGAGGAAGTCCCCGTCCACGCCCTCTGGAACAATCAAGAGTGTGAAGGGGTTGAAATGGGGTGGAGATTGGAGGGGAGGGGGAGGGGAGGGATGGAGATTGGAGGGGAGGGGAAGGGGTTGGTAGTAGAAGGGAGAAAGGGCGGTTCGAATCACAGCAGCACCCCCTTGGTCATGCCAATCGTCACCTTCACTCGCACGCACAGGGGGAGGAAGTTGCCGTCCACGCCCTCTGGAAAAACAGTTGGGTGAATGTCAGTTCTTTCTGCCCTCACCCAATAATAGGTCGTATTCCACCTCATATGGAAGGCGCTGGTTCTGATTCTGCTTTTGAGGCACTGACTCAAAAGCAGATTCACCCTCGCATCACATGGCGGGCGCTGATTCGGATTGTCGCTCAAAAGAAATGCTAGTCAAGCCTACCTGGAAAAAGGCAGCTCTCGAGAGCAACGGAGTTGGGGGGGAGATCGTAGGCGATCTGCACGTCGTCCTTCTCCATGGCGTACCCCAGAATCACCGCCAGGTTGGCGTGCTGCAATGTTGTCAGGGCCTGGATCTCCTTCTGTAGATTGGGAACAGGCAGAGGGGTGACGCAACAGGGAAGGGAGGAAGCAGGTTGCACGCGATCTGCACATCGTCCTTCTCCTTACCGCCAGGTTGGCGTGCTGCAGGGCTGACAGGACCCGGATCTCCTTGTGTTGCATTGAATCAAGAGGAGAGGATGGCAGGGGTAAGGCAGGCAGAGCAGGAGGGGTGGGACAGCAGAGGAGGAAACGCAGGTTGTATGTAATCTACACATGTATTGTGATTCAATATCCACTGGTGAGCTCCCAAGCATGTGACCTAATACGGCCTTCTATGAGATCTGCACATATTGTGATTAAATATTCGGTAGTGAGCTCCCAAGCACATGAGCTCACCATCTTATTCTGTGTCGATTCTTTAGGTGCCAATTTATATTTATGATTATTTGTGTTAGTTTTTTTAGGATTCTAAAAAACTAGCATGGCCTTGTATGCGATCTGCACATATATTGTGACTCAATATGTGGTGGTGAGCTCCCAAGCGTGTGACCTAACACGGCCTTGAATGCGATCTACACATATATTGCGACTCAATACATGATGGTGGGGTGTTTTTTGAGGACCCTGGTGACTCAATACATACATGATGGTGACTCAATACATACATGATGGTGACTCAATACATACATGATGGTGACTCAATACATACATGATGGTGACTCAATACATGCATGATGGTGACTCAATACATACATGATGGTGACTCAATACATACATGATGGTGACTCATTACATGCATGATGGTGACTCAATACATGCATGATGGTGACTCATTACATACATGATGGTGACTCAATACATACATGATGGTGACTCAATACATACATGATGGTGAGCTCCCAAGCGTACGAGCCATCTCACCATCTTATTCTTCTTCCCCAGAGTCGCCGACAGAAACTTCTTGGCAGTTTCGGGGAGCGGCGAGGATGGCGCCATTCGTGGTGACTTGGCCCCTCCTCCCCCCCGCGGGGACTTGGCACTTCCCCCTCCCCCTCCTCCTGTAGGGGACAGTTGACCCCCCCCTCCTTTTCCTCCCTTTCCCCCCCCTCCAGCCCCCACCTCTTCCTTCGTCCTGGAGTGCGGGATCCCCAGCATCAGAGACGCCAGATCCAGCGATCTCGACTTGGGGATTCTCGACGGCTGCTTTGGCGCGGCATGCTCCTGCGCCTGCTCCCTCCCCCGCCCATGCTCCCCCCTGTGCCTCTGCCCGTCACTCTGCCCCTGGCCCTGTCCCTGTCTGTCTTGGCTCCTCTGCGCATGTGCATGAGCATGTGCTCGGTCGGTCCCATGCCCATACTCCCCCCCATCTTCCTGCTCATCGTCTTCCCAGTGACCCTGCTCATGGGGGTCTAACCCATGGGGGTCAAACCCATGAAGATTCCCTTCATGGCTGCCTGGTCTACTATGGGGGTCTGGCCGGCGGGTGTCTGTACCACATTCCTCCTCCTGCCCATACATCGCTCGACTTTGGGGAGACAACGGTGCTCCATACTCCTCCTCCTCCTCCTCCCCGTCCCGTTCCTGCTGCTGCTGCTGCTGCCGCAGCCGCGACTGCTGGTGGTGTGGCTGCTCCTGCTGCAAACTCCTCCTCTCCGGCTTTGCCTTCTGCTCCTTCCCCCTCCTCTCCTGCTCCCTACTGGGCTGCCCACTCTCACTCCTCCTGAATATCCCCCTCCTCCCCCCACTCCCTCCCTCCCCTCTGCTGCTCCCTTCCCCTCTGCTCCTGGGCCTCCCTGGTGTGGTTGGCGTTGTGGGCGTTGTTGGAACTTCCCCCGCTGAAATGGTCTTGGAGTGCGGAAGAAACCCTCTGAACGGACGAGAAGCCGGCTTGGGTGAGACGAGCCGGACGGGAGAAGCAGAGGCACCCCCGCCACCACCCCCACCCCCACCCCCAACCCCACTGCCACTGACACTGCCACCACTACCACCTCTCCTACCTCCACCACCACTCCCCTCACTATCCCTATCCTCCTCATCTCCTCCCCTCCACCTCCTCCCAACCCCCCTTCCCACCTCCTCTTCCTCCACTTCCTCCCCACTCTCAACCGCCTCCCCAACCCTCCTCTCCCTCCCCACGCCAGCCACTCCTGCCGCCACCGCAGCCGACAGCGAACCCTCTAGATCCATTCCTCCTCCTGCTTCCCTCCCTCTAGATTCCTCAGCTTCCCTCCCTTCCCTCCCCTCCGACCCTGATTCGGATGGCAGGTTAGCAAGATTGACGTCAGATTTCGAGCGGATCGGAGAAAATTTCGGCCGCCAGAAATCCTTTTGGAAGACGTTGATTCCGCCGGGGATGCGCGGCGAGAGCATGGGCAAAGCAGCAGCGGACGCAGCGGAAGGAAGGGGGGAGAGAGCACCATCCGCAGCACCAGCAGCACCCGCAGACCCTGCAGCAGCAACAGAGATAGGACCACTGTGTGTTTTCGGGGTGTGAGGAGGGGTCTTTTGCTGCTCCTTCTCCTGCTGCTGCTGCTGCTGTCCCCCTACCCTTCCACTCCTACCTCTCCCCCCTCCTCTTATCTCACCAGACTTACTCACAACCACTTGAGCTGGCTGCGAGTGCGAGTGCGAGGATGAACCTTCTCGGAAGGAGGAGGAGCGGGAGGTAGGGGTGGAGGAAGATGCAGAGGTCGAGGAGGAGGAGGAGGTTCGGGAGAAGGAGGGTCGGCTCGAGCCTGACCCGGCTCGGCCGAGCGCGGGGAAGCCTCGGAGACTGCCAGATGCCGTGGCTGCAGCTGCTAGGGCTGGGCAAGGGAACAAGGGCGGAAGGGGATGGTGGTGGCAGGAAACAATGTTCGTGATATCACACACTGTTTTCGAGAGCTAAGACAGAACACAGCCTCGGAGAGTGGCAGGTTGCGGCTGCCGCTGCTAGGGCTGGAGGGGAGAACAAGAGCAATGGTAGGGAGCAGGGAAGGGAGTGTGAAAGGGAGTGTGAAAGGGAGTGGGAAGGGAGTGTGAAAGGGAGGGCAAAAGGGAGCAGAGATACAGGAAGAAAGAATGCAGCATGGTTAGAAGGCAAGCAATAAAAGAAATGGAAGCCTCGACAGATTGCATTGCCACACCACTCGCTGTGGCTGCTGCTGCTGGGGCTGGGAGGACGGGGAGAGATGAGAGGTCAAACGAGAGGAGAACGAGTGAGGGGAAGGGAGAGATACCAAGTGAGAAAGAGTCTATGGTCGCACATCGCAAGGCAGCCAAACTGCTGTTCAGCCAATCTTGAAACACGCACCTTGGTGGCGGACAGGCTTGAACCGACGCGCCGCGCCAACTATCTCCTGTGGCTGGTCTGTCGTTGAGAACTGTCAAGGTCTGTCCTTGGAGAACCCGACCATGGGAGACTGGCTGCCGGACTGGCGGCATATCGCAGCCAGACTGGCTGCAGCTCGCAGCTACTGTGGTGCGCACGAGTGCAGCAATGAGGCTCTCTTTTGACATGCCTCAGAAGCACGCACCTTGCTGGCGGATGGTCTTGAGGCGCCGCGCCACCTCGCCCATGGCCGGCCTGTCTTTGGGTAAGCGCTGCACACACATGGCGGCCAGACTGCCCACCGCCTGCAGCGATTGCGGCACGCACGAGTCTAGAAGCACAGGGTCTGCCACCGAGTCCGTGTGGCCGCTGCAGATGGCCGGGGTGGCCTGTGTGAGCGGGGGGGAGGGCCATGGGAACGGGGGGGAGGGCCATGGGAACGGGGGGAAGGGCCATGGGAACGGGGGGAGGGCCATGGGAACGGGGGGAGGGCCATGGGAACGGGGGGAGGGCCATGGGAACGGGGGGAGGGCCATGGGAACGGGGGGAGGGCCATGGGAACGGGGGGAGGGCCATGGGAACGGGGGGAGGGCCATGGGAACGGGGGGAGGGCCATGGGAACGGGGGGAGGGCCATGGGAACGGGGGGAGGGCCATGGGAACGGGGGGAGGGCCATGGGAACGGGGGGAGGGCCATGGGAACGGAACAGGGGACATAAGGCGGGCAGAGGGGAAACTGCTCTGAGTCTTGAAGCACAGAGTCTGCTACTGAGTCCGTGTGGCCGCTGCAGATGGCCAAGGTGGCCTGTGGAAGCGGGGGGGAGGGAGTTGAAGGGGCGGCGGGGGGAAGAGGGGAAAGGCACGAGTCCACGAGGGCATGGTCGGCGGCCACTGAGTAGGTGTCACTGCCGCAGATGGGAGAAGCGGCGTACATGGGAAGCAGAACACATGGGAAGCGGAACACATGGGAAGCAGAACACATGGGAAGCGGAACACATGGGAAGCGGAACACATGAGAAGCGGAACACATGGGAAGCGGAACACATGGGAAGCGGAACACATGGGAAGCGGAACACATGGGAAGCGGAACACATGGGAAGCGGAACACATGGGAAGCGGAACACATGGGAAGCGGAACACATGGGAAGCGGAACACATGGGGAGCAGATGGGGAGGAAGGGCCTGCATTGACTGCGGCGCACACGGATATAGTAACAAGAGGGCCGGGCGGGGATAAGTCTGCTACATTATGCATCATAATGCATCATTATGCATCTTACTGCTCCACTCACTTACTCTCTTAGGAACTCTCCCCCTAAACCCTCTCAGGCTCTCCCCCTAAACCCATTCAACGATTGCCATTCTCTCCTCTGCGTCGTCTGACGCTGTGAGTACCGGTGCCCTCCTAGCCAGTCCTCTCACCCACTTGCCCTCAACCATTCGAGCCCCCCCCCACCCCCCTCCCCCCCACTCTCCCCCCCTTCTTCCCCTCGCCAGCCAACTCCCCCATTTGGCGAGCGCCATTCTCTCCCCTGCGTCGTCCGACTCTTTGAGAAGCGATCCACCTTGCTAATCCTCTCACCCACTTGCCCTCAACCTATTTCCCCCCCCCCCCCTTTTCCCCTTTCCCCCATCTCACCCATTTGGCGAGCGCCATCCTCTCCCCGGCGTCGTCTGACTCCTTGAGCACCGGCGCCTTGCCAATACCCCCCCCCCCCCCCCCCCCCGCCCCGCTCCCGCCCACATAAACACAGCCCCTCCCAGGCTCTCATTCATTTGGCGAGCGCCATTCTCTCCCCGGCGTACGGGTGCCTTGCCAATGCCTTCACACACTTTCCCTCAACCATTTAATTCCCTCCCCTCCTCCCCCCCCCCCCCCAATTCCCCCTCCCCCACCACACTCAAAGGCCCCCCTTCTCACCCATTTGGCGAGCGCCATTCTCTCCCCGGCGTCGTCTGACTCCTTGAGCACTGGCGCCTTGCCCGTGATGAGCTCCAGCAGCACCACTCCAAAGCTGCCACGTGGCACAAAAGGAATAGCAGAAGGGGCGAGTCGCAAGTCAGGCGGTGAGAAACAACATGCATGCATGATAAACAGGGGGCGAGCATTCGGTAAAATAGGCTGCTGGCACCTGCATCAGGCGAACAAAATCAAGAAACCATAATGTTTTCTTAGATTTGAAAAAACAAGCATGCCGACGCCAGAGCGATCGATCAGAGCTGATGCTTGTCTGCCAACACTTGAATGCCTGTCAAGAAGTACCTAAAGAAGTATAGACGTTTGGGACCTCCATCACGTGGACCAGAACAACTAGGCCATGCTTTTACTGCTGCTAAAGAGACAAAACATGCAGTCGCCAGAGGGATTAGAGAGCTGATGCTTGTCTGCCAACGCTTGCATGCCTGTGAATAAGTACCTCTAGAAATTTCATGTCGGGACACACACACCTACCGAGAAGTATCTACTGAGAAAGGACTGTCGAGAAATACGAGTCGATAATGCCTGTAGAGAAACAGCATAGAGTAGACGTGGGCGTAATACCGAGCCGGCTCGGCTCGGCTCGCTGAAGCCGAGCCGCCGGCTCGGCTCGGAGTTAGGCTTCACTGAAGCTGAAGCCGAAGCCGAGCCGAAGCCCGGCTTGCTCTGGCTCGGCTTCAGCACGGATTGAAGCCGCGGGGGTCAAATCTCGACCCCCACAAAATCGCGAGTATCATTTTGAGAGTCGCGTTGTAGTGTGACATGCACGTGTATGCAGTTTGTGATGTAGAGTCTGGCACACATACACACGTCGTGACGAGCCTCGACATGAGTGCAATGGCGCACGGTATTCTTGGACTGATACTGTTGCGACCATCAAGTGTGCTCCATGTTTTAGCTAGACCCCCCACCCTGGCTTCAGGGCTTAAAAAACGAGCCGAGCCGAGCCGAGCCGGCCTGTTTTCCGGCTCGGCTTCGGCTCGAAGCCGGCTTCAGCGAGCCTTGCCGACCTCAGGCTGAAGCGAGCCGAAGCCCGGCTCGGCTCAGCTCGGCTCGACTGAAGCCCAGCTCGAAGCCGGCTCGGCTCGACTTGGTGTTACGCCCATGTCTAGCGTAGCGTAGAGGTATACTTGCCAAGATACGCTTGTCAAGATATACCTGTTGTGAAACACCTGTTGAGACATACCTGTCGAGGGTTACCTGTTTTCGACAACTGAAAGCGAACCCAATGGATAGCCCGCCGTGTATTGGATAAGCAAACCCAACGTAATCTACAGCGCCTCCCGGCATACCTGTAGACGTCCGAGCGGTCGGACACGATGCTCGTCTGGCAGTACTGCGGGTCCAGGTAGCCCGGAGTGCCGACCACACGTGTGTGCGTGGGCGACGTTGACTCGTCGCTGATCGCCTTCACGTTGCCAAAGTCCCCCAGCTTGGGCTGGAGATGGCGAGGAGAGGGAGATGGGAAAGGGTTGTTAAGCATGAATGGTTGGAGAGAGAGAGGCGAAAATTTAAGAGCTTGTAAGGTGGAAACGAAATGATAGGCGATGGACGTGGATTATAATCAGAAGCCTCCGTCCGAGCGACCATTGAGCCGACTGAAGAATCGACTCACGTGCAGAGCAGGTCGTTGTCGAGGAACACATTGAGTGCCTTCACATCTCAATGAAGGGCCTCCAAGTGACCGTGGGTTTCATTGTTGGCTTGAATATTGGCTCGACTCAAAAAGCAACTCACATCCAGGTCGTTGTCGAGAAACACGTTCAGCGTCTTCACATCTCGATGAATGATCGCCGGGTGCAACTCGAGCATGTACTGCAGGGCCTCCGCCACCCCCAGGGCGATCTCCAGGCGCTTGTCAAACGACAGCACGCCACCCCCCTCTATGGCCGCCTCCCCCTTGATGGGGTTCAGGTGCTGCCTGAGGCTCTATCTGAGCTTACAACGAAACGACCAACTCACATGGAAGTCGTTGTCGAGGAACACGTTCAGCGTCTTCACGTCTCGGTGTATAATAGCTGGGTGCACCCCGTGCATGTACTGCAGGGCCTCTGCCACCCCCAGGGCGATCTCCAGGCGCTTGTCAAACGACAGCACGCCACCCCCCTCTATGGCCGCCTCCCCCTTGATGGGGTTGATGTGCTGCCGGAGGCTGCCGTTGGGCACATACTCGTACACCAGCACCAGCTCCTCCCTCTCCTCGCAGAAGCCCAGCAGGCGCACCAGGTTAGGGTGGCGGAGTTGTGAGACTGCGTGGATCTGGAAGAGAGGGTGGGGAGGAACCAGACCAAGGAGATGAGAAGAAGCACAAGACGCTCGAGATTGGGATGGCTGAGGCACTGCATGGACCTGCAAGGGGGCGGGGGGAGAGGCGGAGAGGTTTGAGACAGGCCCAAACCATATCTCAACTGGGCTCGTTTGCATCTCTCAGATCCCCTCTTTGATCCGTGATACCTCTTTCTCACAGTCCAGTCCTGCAACTGACCCTATAGACCATACCATTACCATACCTCCCTCTCTTCCCCTGCCATACCCCTTATAGACCATTGCCGTGCCGACCCCCCGACGTTCTATACATCATGATAGCATATTTGATTGCCTTGGCAGGTTCAATATAATCCAACACATGCTCACCCCCTCCCCTCCCCCCCCCCAGCAAAAAACCACCAACCCTCCCTCACCTCTTTCTTGTAGTCCTCTCTCAGCCAAGACATACGAACGACTGCGAACCACTACGAACCACTACAAACCACTACAAACCACGACAGCCCCCCCTTTTCCACCATCCACTCACCTCTTTCTCGAAATCCTTGAGCCGTGTGATCCCCGCCTTCTTCCCGCGCTTCACCGCCCAAAGCTGCCCATCGGGCCCACACCCCTTGTACACCACCGCACTGCCGCCCTCCCCCAGGATAGCCCCCTCCGCCCACCCCTGGGTGGCCCTCTCTAACTCCTCATATGGGATAGGCTTAGCGGGCTCTAGCTCCTCTAGGTCCGTGCCGTCTGGTACTGACTCCAGGCGCTTGGCAAAGGACCGCCGTAGCAGCGCCTGGTGCTTCGCCGCCCTGCCTCCCACACCCGCCCTCCCTGCTGCCGCTGCTGACCCTGCTGCTCCTCCTACTCCTCCTCCTCCTGCTGCTCCTGCGCCTCCCGCTGCTCCTGCTCCTCCTGCTCCTCCTGCTCCTCCCCCGGTCCCTCCTATGATTGGCATACGACCAGGGAGCTCAAGCACCACCCCCCCTTCGCCTCCCCCTCCACCCCCTCCATCTCCCCCTCCCGCCCCCCCTCCTCCTCCACCTCCCCCCGCCAGCCCCCCCCTCCCCCTCCCCCGCTCCCCCCAGCACCCCCCCCACTCCCCACAAACTGACCCCGCCCCTGCTTCATCTCCAGCCGCGCCCCCCCCTCCACCGCCCACGCCAGCTGTTCTCCCACCCTCCTCTCCGCCTCCACCCTAACCTCCGGCAGAGTAACCGCCATGAGCAGCGATTTATCCGACGACCTCAGCGCCGCGTGGCGGGAGGAAGGCGCCCCTATGGAGTGCAGGAGACGCTTCACTGAAACTTCACTGGGGATGCTGTCCACCGGGGAGGTGCCGTTCCACGCGACAAACCAGCTGAAATCGCTCATGGAGTCGATTCGCACAGTCGCGCCGAGGGGGAAGGAGGAGGAGAAGGAGGCGGGGGAGGAAGAGGAGGAGGTGGAGGAGGGGGAGTCGGCGGTAGAGTGTGAGTCGCGCTTATCTGAGAGAAAGAGGTCGCGCACGTCGTCGAGCCCGTCATCCCACAGGATGAGCTCGTCGCCTACAGCTGGGACCACTCGTGCGTGCTTCCGCACAGTCAGTCGGCCGGATGTCCGGGCTGTCGTAGCAGCAGCAGCACCAGTCGTACTGCTGGTGGTGATTGAGTTGGTGGTAGGGTTAGTGGTGCCCTTACTGCTGGTTGCCGCAGCGTCTGTTACGGTGCTAGAGTCAGTACCTGCTACAGCGTCAGTATTAGTACTACCTCCCTCGGTTCCACCTGCCTCTGTGCTGCTGCTTCGGTCCACAGTCCCCTTGCCTTCTCCCGTCCCACCCCCACTGCTGCTGCCACCACCATTGCTGCCACTGCTGCCGTTGCTGCTTAAGCTGCTCATACTGCTGATTCCCGTACTGCTGCTGCCACCAGCACTGCACTCACTACCTCCCCTTCTTCTACTGTCACATCCGCTACAAGAATCAACTCCAGTGCCCTTGCCTTCCCACCCCACCTGCCGATTCTCCTGAACCACCAACTGGACGGCTCGTCCCAGCAGGGAATACTGCGCCAGGATTGGTGCGAGCGCGAGCGCCACATCGTACACCGTCCGTTGGGAGGCCTCCCACACAGCTTGCACCTCGTCCGTCAGATCTTCCAGCAGATCTTCCAGCGGCGCTGTGGCAATGCGATAGGAGTCTACGTCCCAACGGGGGGGAGAGGAGAGAGAGGACGAGTGAGAGGAGGAGTGAGGGAGAGATCCGTTTGCAGTTGCAGGAGGGGTGATATGGGTAACAACTTCGGTGGTGGCGCTGGCGGGCTCAGCAGCAGCCGCAGCAGGTTCGGGCATGGAGCGCAAGGCTTGGGAGTCAAGCTCGGCGCGAAGAGCAAAGGTGCGGAAGGCAAAGAGGGGCACTCGACGGGGATCGCCCTGTGGAATGCAGGCGGGAGGGGGGGGAGGAAGGGGACGGGGGAGAGGAGGGGGAAGGGGGAGAGGAGGGGGACGGGGAAGAGGAGAGGGAGGGGGAAGAGAAGGGGGAAGGGGGAGAGGAGGGGGAAGGGGGAGAGGAGGGGGAGGGGGGAGAAGAGGGGGAGGGGGGAGAAGAGGGGGAAGGGAGGAGGGTTGCAATGTAAGCAAGAAGGCAAAACTTGGGAGTAGAGCTCGGCGGGGAGAGCAGAGGTGTGGAACGCAAAGAGGGGCACTCGACGAGGGTCGCCCTGTGGGATGAGATGGGAGGAGAGGGGGTTACAGAAGGGCGAGCGCAAGGGCAGGCGGGAGGAGAGGTCATGCAGAAGGGCGAGCGCAAGGGCAGGCGGGAGGAGAGGTCATGCAGAAGGGCGAGCGCAAGGGCAGGCGGGAGGAGAGGTCATGCAGAAGGGCGAGCGCAAGGGCAGGCGGGAGGAGAGGTCATGCAGAAGGGCGAGCGCAAGGGCAGGCGGGAGGAGAGGTCATCCAGAAGGGCGAGCGCAAGGGCAGGCGGGAGGAGAGGTCATGCAGAAGGGCGAGCGCAAGGCTCTGAGTAGCATGGGAGGAGATAGTGCTTCCTTGTGCCAATCGCTGGGTGTGGTAGAAGTCTAGCTTCGGGCGTCTAAAAACTAAACCACTTACACCTCACATCTCATCTGGGGCACTTTACCCCTTGTCTCACCTTGGGAACGCCGTCCACCATCATCATGGCGGCTCTGATCCCCATGGCCTGCGCGCTGAGCCGCATCTCCTTGAGCTCCGTGCGGGACGGCAGCTTGCCTCGGGTCAACGGGCGCAGGCACGACCGGTAGCGCAGGTGCAGGATGCGCACTGCCTTCTCTAGGCCGTCCAGCTGAGCCGCGTCTAGAGGTGGACGGGTGAGAGAACCTGGGAATTTGGAGGGGAGAGGGCGGGGCGGGTGGGGGGAGTGGGGGTATTAGGTCACAGCAGGTACGACCGGTAGCGCAGGTGCAGGATGCATGCGCACCGCCTTCTCTAGGCCGTCCAGCTGAGCAGCATCGAGAGGAGGCGTTGACAGTGCCTGGGAGTGCGGGAGAGGGGGGGGAATGGAAAAATGGCACTCGGTAGCTTGCCCCGCGGCCATGGCCGCAGGCACGACTGGTAGCGCAGGTGGGGGATGCGCACCGCCTTCTGTAGGCCGGCCAGCTCAGCCGCGTCTAGGGATGGGCGAGTGATAGAGCCTGAGAGTGGGGGTTGGAAGGCGGTAGGGGAGGGGGGGGGGGGATGGATGAGCATCACCAACGGCAGTTTGCGTCGAGTAAAGGGTCCAAGGCACGACTGGTCGCATTGACGCATTCCCTCTGCGTGCAGTCCAGGAGCAGATGCAGGATGCGTGAGGAGTCTATTTTTGAGGCGCCTCAAAAATAGGTGCAGGATGCGCACTGCCTTCGCCTCCAGGGTCGTGCAGCTGCGTGGAAAGAGCATTTACGCCCGAACCAACCAACACAGGACAAGCCAGCATAACACACCCCATCACAGCTCGAACCCGCGTTTTACAGCCAATCCCAGCACGAACCGCCGTTGGACTATCTTCCACCCACCTCCGTCCGCCGTCTCCTCGCCGCCGGGGTCGTGCAGCTGCGTGAAAAGCGCATGCAGACAGCTCAGCATGCGTACACGTGGCAGACCGTCTCCCTCCGCCTTCGCCTTCCCCGGATTATACGCTGACATGGCGGCCGTAACCGCGCCGAGTGCCAGGTGTGCGATCCCTAGAGGCGCGCCGAGCTGGCCAGATCGAGCCACCGTTCCGATTGGCTCGGGCAGATTCTCGGAAACGTTTCGTTGGTCGGGCAGCCATGTGGGTTCAACGTCGTCGTCGCTACCGTCTGAGAAATCGCCGAAGTCCGCCATGGTTCGAAGCGGGGAAGCAGCAACGATGTACGCTGCGATATAGGGTTCGCGTCAGGCTTAGGACGAAGAATACCTATATCGCAATGCTTCTATCACAAACTCCGACATGCCTTGAAGGGCACTGCTGTAATCCACCTTAAAACCAGCAGTGGCAGCAGCAGCAGCAACAGCAGTCGAACGGTGATTAAACCTCGCAGCAGTCACAGCGGTAGGGCGGAAGTCTCGTCTGTAAACCACATTGGACTAGAGTTAATCGGTCAGTTCTAGCGAGAGAACGCGGTTTTCTCCACGCTCCCTTAACCACTGGAAAAACGGGGTTTATATCTCAGCGGCTGGGTTGGCCCTACGTGTAAGTCCGCAGACGTTACCGTGGTGGGTCAAATGTCTGGGACGGAAAAAAAGTTAACAGGTCAGTTTCGCGAACCTCCCGGCTAGCTTTGGTGCGTCAGAAGCCTAGGACGTTGACGTTGACGTCGACGCCTGAACCACGACGGGTGCTCTTGTGGTACCGTGGAAACTCGATTCCTAGGCTACAGATTTCCGAGCACTATCACGACATGGAAACAGAACGACAGTACGAGTAGCGCAGGATTGGCTACGGAAATCGAAAATGACACTTGGAAACCTAAACAACTGAACTGCTCGCAGGTCTAGGCTAAAGAAACACAGGACGTCAATCTGGGCTCGTCCATGAACTGAACTACTGAACAGCTCGGAGGCCTCTACTTCTGTTCGGAGAGCAAGAATCAGAGAGTCGCACGAGCACAACTAGCCCTGCTTTCGTTGCATCCCTCCCATCCAAACCAAACTCGTGCCAGTTTGCGTGGTGGGTGTGCTGTGCTGCTCCGGGTGTATCCAACAGTCAATTTTGTTGGGGAGGTTTGCGGTGTTGGAGACGCGGCTCATGGAGGGTGGTTTACTCTGTAAAACGGCCCATTCACACTCATTTTGAGTATTGAGGAAACTAAGATGAACCTCTGATTGGCGCAGAACCTCGGAGCATTCGCTTCTCCCGTTCCTGGAATCATAATGCCTCCACGAAAGAAACCCGCGATCAGAATGACGGGAAGAACAGGTATTCTTAAAAAAGGAACTGCTTCCTCCGAGAAATATCGGGACAACAGATAACGTAAGTTGTGCTTTCCTCCCATTGGCCCGTCGGAGATCGTTTGCTCGAACTGTGAAACCACCCCACGAGTTCGTCATGGGGAACGACGAATGCTGACTGGCTGCGGCTAGGGACTAGTCACCAGGGAGAGCGCAGCCAGGGAACAAGCCCCACGGCCAGTGACTGAGGGGACAAACAATCGCTCGATTCATGCAGCTCTAGCGGCGCAAGAGACAAACTCAGGGGACCTCGAGGTGTGGGAAGACCGCTACAAAAGGACTCGCAATCCAGTACAGCAATCCGACCTCCACGAAGATCCCACTTTCATTCTGTCCATCAACATAGATTCTTCTAGGATGCAAAGGACGTAAATTCACATGCCACATGGCCCTTAGTTCACAGCCCCACGCAAATAGCACATCTCCACACGGCTCAAATCTATTTCACATTATTGATTTGCCATCTACAGCCATTTCACATCCAACAATAAGGCAAATGACAAGGCTATATTTCTTGGTACCTACATGGGAGAGACGTTAACTGTTAACTACTTCCGAAGTATTACTTGCTTTTCTCAATGTGGGTTGTATGCCCACCCATGGTCATCTAGAAAGTGTTGTACCGTTTCTCTCAGTGCAAGGTTAGGCACCAGCTGCTCTGGAGTCAATTTGGCCCTTGTCACGGGGTCAAAATGCTTTCCCTGTGTTAGGGGAGGGGGGAGGTTTATAGCGGGGGAGTACGAGAAGCATCAGATACCGGAATGATCATGCTAGGGCAATGGGGGGGTGAGAGCGTAAGGAAGGCGCAACATATCGCAGAGAAGGGGGCGGCAAACGGAGCAACCAAGGGGCATGGTAGCGCGCAAGAAGGGCAGTACAAATAAGGGGACAGAACAAAGGGGACTCACGGAGGACAGGCGGTTGGCAAACACTGCTTGTTCACAAGTAACGTCACCGAGAGCGATCACAGGGCTTTAAGGCGCCTCAAACAAGTCACCATGTACACACGAAGTTCAGATCGCCAACAAGCACTGCTTGTTCACAAGAAAAGCCTGTGAGAATGCTCACAGGGCTTTAAGACGCCTCAAACAAGTCACTATGTTCACACGAAGCTCACATCGTGAGCAACCTCTACTTGTTCAAAAGTAAAGCCAGTGAGAATACTCACAGGGCTCTAAGGCGCCTGAAACATGCCTCAAACACATCACGCCACCATGTACTCCGGAGTTGAGATGGTCCACAAGAACTGCTCGCCCGTATGTCACATCACGGGGAATATGGACGGGGAGGTTGAGGCGCCTAAATAACGGCACCATGTACTCACGGAGTTGAGATGGTCCACAAGCACTGCTCGCTCGTACGTCACGCCACTGGGAGTGATGACGGGGTCCTTGAAAATGTCCATGGTGATCTTGCAGCACAGGAAGTCAGGGATCTGAGACGCACAGGGGGAAAGCACAGGGAGCTCATGGGGTCACATCACATGAGCTCACGGGGTCACATCACATGAGCTCACGGGGTCACATAATATGAGTTCACGGGGTCACATCACATGAGTTCACGGGGTCACATAATATGAGTTCACGGGGTCACATCACATGAGCTCACGGGGTCACATAATATGAGTTCACGGGGTCACATCACATCACATAAGCTCACGGGGTCACATAATATGAGTTCACGGGGTCACATCACATAAGCTCACGGGGTCACATAATATGAGCTCACGGGGTCACATCACATGAGCTTACGGGGTCACATAATATGAGTTCACAGGGTCACATCACATAAGCTCACGGGGTCCTGGAAACAGCACCGCTCGCTTCTATGTAACACCGCTGGGAGTGATGACAGGGTCCTTGAAGATATCCATGGCGATCTTGCTTTTGAGTCGACTCAAAAGCAGACTCATTACACGCAGTTTTTACATAGAGAAGATATCCATGGCGATCTTGCAGCACTAGGAAGAGAGAGAAGCACGTTGGGGGACCATCATGGCCTCATGGTACTGTGTACAGATGCCATAGCCCGATGTGGGCAATCGGAAATGTAAAAATTGCATCAAAAAACATGTCGAGGGGTGCGACAAGAGAAGCTACAAGACTTCTAGCAAGAGAAGGGGAGAAGAAATGCCCCATTGACGCCCCTCCACTGGTCTGTCTGGTGGGGTGCTCCAGCCTTGTCAAACACATCCTCCAGAGTGTTGAGGTGCTCCTGGTGACGCTGCTGCAGGGACAGCCCGGTTCACATGCACCCCGTGCACACCAGGGACAGCCAGGTTCACATGCACCCCGTGCACACCAGGGACAGCCCACTCTGGCCTCCCGCAAGCTTACCTCACCTGCTCGATCTACACTCCCATCCCATCACCCCATCTCACCACCCCATCCCATCACCCCATCCCATCACCCCATCCCATCACCCCATCCCATCACCCCATCCCATCACCCCACCCCATCCCATCACCCCATCTCACCACCCCATCCCATCACCCCATCCCATCACCCCATCCCATCACCCCATCCCATCACCCCATCCCATCACCCCATCCCATCACCCCATCCCATCACCCCATCCCATCACCCCATCTCACCACCCCATCCCATCACCCCATCCCATCACCCCATCCCATCCTAAGTTGGTACCTTACGTGACTTTAGCCCACGTACACGTAAAGTACGCGTAACTTTACGTGTACGTTACGTTACGCGTACGTTACGTGTACGTCGCCGGGCAGGCCTCAAAAAAATTTCCCGGGCAAAATTTTCACCCTAAGAAAACGCGATTTACAACTACTACTAGGCTGTTCAGGGCTAGGCTACGGCTAATGCCTATGCTCCGCACTGATCTACCCCATCAATCTAAGTCGCAACGAAATTCGTTGCGCTGATAGTATGCGCGCTCCTCCTAGTCGTAAGATGCTACTTAGTCTAGACTTGATTGTCGCTGGAGTAAGGTTAGCGATTGGCATTTGTCGAGGGAGGAAGGAGAATCACATGTCGAGGGGGGTTGGGGGGTTGTTCATTGACGGGTTGGATTGCCGGGGCACCAAATTTGACGCGCACCAGCGACGAGATTTCGCGCATGCGGAATTTCGCTAAACAATTTGTGACTTTCGTCGCACCCCACTCGTGATAATCTTCTACTAGAAGATCAAAACCTACAAACTTTTTTACAAAAGTCGGCTTTCCATCCCCTCTTTTTTTTTCCCTTGGGCAGCCTAAAAAATTTTAGACTGCCCGTACATTCAGGCCTAAAACCAGAATCGCGTAAACGTACGTAAACGTACACGTACGTAAACGTAACGTAAGGAACCAACTTAGATCCCATCACCCCATCCCATCACCCCACCCCATCATCACCCCATCCCATCACCCCATCCCATCACCCCATCTCACCACCCCATCCCATCACCCCATCCCATCACGCCATCCCATCACCCCATCCCATCATCCCATCCCATCACCCCATCCCATCACCCCATCCCATCAACCCATCCCATCACCCCATCCCATCACCCCATCCCATCACCCCATACCATCACCCCATCCCATCACTCCACCCCATCTCCTCACCTCAGCCGGTCTGTCTGGCGCTCCAGCCTTGTCAAACACGTTCTCCAGAGTATTGAGCCGCTCCTGGTACTGCTGCACCAGTGACTGCACCTGCTGCGATTTCACTGCATCCAAGCCTGCAAGGAAGGGGGGGGGGAGGAAATCCGCAGGGTGGGTTAGAAAGAGAGTGTTGAGCCGTTCCTGGTACTGCTGCACCAGCGACTTTACCTGCTGCGATTTCACTGCGTCCAGGTAGGCCTGCGAGGACGAGTTGACCGAGCGGTGGGGGTGTGGAGGGGGGGAGAGAGAGTGTTAAGCAACTCCTGGAGAAATTTGGAGACCTGCCACACTAGAGAAACCTGTGCTGACTTCAATGGATCATGGGCAGGGAAGAAGGGGGGTCGCAAGATGAGTCACTTCATCTGCTAAAAAAAAGGCTGATTTAGGCAAGGGAAGAGAAAACGAGGATGGGAGGTAGCGAGGCTCGTGATTCGGGAGAGTGTTGGGTTGCTCCTGGTACTACTGTGCACGAGGGACCGCCTTTCCGCACAACAGGGACCATCTGCCCCCACAAGAGGGTCCGTCTGCTTTCACAAGTAGGACCATTTGCCCCGACTTCATACCACTCCGAACCCAATCCCTTCAAGCAGACTGTAGGAAAGCACCAGCTGCATTGCATCCTTGCCACACTGCTTTTCTGCAACATTCGCACCTGTGGCACTCACCAGCTGTGCGCTCTCTGGCTGTGTGCTCACCAGAGGTCCTGCCCCGACACACTCACCTGCTGTGCTGCCGAGGGCATTGACGTCCACTGTGGCCGAACCATTCAAAGCGCCCTCCTTTCCTGGCACGCAGGCATGGGGGAGGAGGGAAAGAAACAGAGGAGAGAGCAGAGTTGGGAGGATGTGTTGAAAATTCAAAGCGCCCTCCCTCCTGAGGCTCCGTACAGAGTGACTGTTCTGAGGCGCTCAATGCTCTAGGCCTCATGGCCTCATGGCCTCATGGCCTCATGGCCTCATGGCCTCATGGCCTCATGGCCTCATGGCCTCATGGCCTCATGGCCTCATGGCCTCATGGCCTCATGGCCTCATGGCCTCATGGCCTCATGGCCTCATGCCCTCATGGCCTCACGGCCTCATGGCCTCATGGCCTCATGCCCTCATGGCCTCATGCCCTCATGGCCTCACGGCCTCATGGCCTCACGGCCTCATGGCCTCATGGCCTCATGCCCTCATGGCCTCATGCCCTCATGGCCTCACGGCCTCATGGCCTCATGGCCTCATGCCCTCATGGCCTCATGCCCTCATGGCCTCACGGCCTCATGGCCTCATGGCCTCATGGCCTCATGGCCTCATGGCCTCATGGCCTCATGGCCTCATGGCCTCATGGCCTCATGCCCTCATGGCCTCACGGCCTCATGGCCTCATGGCCTCATGCCCTCATGGCCTCATGCCCTCATGGCCTCACGGCCTCATGGCCTCACGGCCTCATGGCCTCATGGCCTCATGCCCTCATGGCCTCATGCCCTCATGGCCTCACGGCCTCATGGCCTCATGGCCTCATGCCCTCATGGCCTCATGCCCTCATGGCCTCACGGCCTCATGGCCTCATGGCCTCATGGCCTCATGCCCTCATGGCCTCACGGCCTCATGGCCTCACGGCCTCATGGCCTCATGGCCTCATGCCCTCATGGCCTCATGCCCTCATGGCCTCACGGCCTCATGGCCTCATGGCCTCATGGCCTCATGGCCTCATGGCTTCATGGCCTCATGGCCTCATGGCCTCATGGCCTCATGGCCTCATGGCCTCATGGCCTCATGGCCTCATGGCCTCATGGCCTCATGGCCTCATGCCCTCATGGCCTCACGGCCTCATGGCCTCATGGCCTCATGCCCTCATGGCCTCATGCCCTCATGGCCTCACGGCCTCATGGCCTCATGGCCTCATGGCCTCATGCCCTCATGGCCTCACGGCCTCATGGCCTCACGGCCTCATGGCCTCATGGCCTCATGCCCTCATGGCCTCATGCCCTCATGGCCTCACGGCCTCATGGCCTCATGGCCTCATGGCCTCATGGCCTCATGGCTTCATGGCCTCATGGCCTCATGGCCTCATGGCCTCATGGCCTCATGGCCTCATGGCCTCATGGCCTCATGGCCTCATGGCCTCATGGCCTCATGCCCTCATGGCCTCACGGCCTCATGGCCTCATGGCCTCATGGCCTCATGACCTCATGGCCTCATGGCCTCATGACCTCATGGCCTCATGGCCTCATGGCCTCATGGCCTCATGGCCTCATGGCCTCATGGCCTTATGGCCTCATGGCCTCATGGCTTCATGGCCTCATGGCCTCATGGCCTCATGGCCTCATGGCCTCATGGCCTCATGGCTTCTTCAAAGTAACCATGAAAGGTGTTGCAACTGCAATAAAACGGTTCAACACGGTTGAGAGGGATGTGGATGGAAAAACAGAGCAACTCACCTAGAAGCTGCGGGAACAACCGCAAAGGACAGGCGCAAAGGACAGCCGCAAAGGACAGCCGCAAAGGACAGTGGGGTGACTTACCTAGGAGCTGCGACACTAGTTGGCACGGGTCTTGAGGCACATCAGATCAAAACGCATGGCAGCGCCCCGAAACAGCTGCAAAGGACAACCGCCAAAGGACAGCTGCAAAAGACAGTGGATGGCTCACCTAGAAGCTGAGCCACTTGCTGGAACAGACGATTCTTCATCAGCAGCTTCAGCTCCTCCCTGCCTCCATCAACACACAAAATACCAAAGGGGGGGAAAGAAGAGGCAAATTTAAATGCACATTCTCCCATCATCCCACACACCTCCAACCCACACACCTCCAACCCACACCCACATACCTCCAACTCACATACCTCCAACCTTTCTAGAACTGTTGGCTCCTGTCTAACGGTTTGCTGCTTCCCTCTCCTCACCTATGCCCCCTCCACCCTCCAGCACCCTCCAGAACCTCCACACCTCACACCTCTCTAGTGGCGTTGCCACACCTCACACCTCTCTAGTGGCGTTGCCACACCTCACACCTCTCTAGTGGCGTTGCCACACCTCACACTTCTCTAGTGGCGTTGCCACACCTCACACCTCTCTAGTGGCGTTGCCACACCTCACACCTCTCTAGTGGCGTTGCCACACCTCACGCCTCTCTACTGGCGTTGCGGCATCTCAAGCCTCACCTGACCGCTTGCTGCTCTGCTCTCCTTGTGTTGACCTCTTCCTCCCATTGCCGGTACTCGCCTCGCCAGCAGCCATCTCTGTGCAAGACTGTACAAAACACCTCTCACAACGCACCCCAGCACTTGCTGCTTCTCTCTTCTCACCCGCACCTCCTCCTCCCACCGCCTGTACTTGGCGGCAGCCAGCCTAGTACTTGCTTGACCCGATTTTCTAAGAAAAACTCTCAGCACTTACCCTAGCGCTTGCTGCTTCTCTCTCCTCGCCCGCGCCTCCTCCTCCCACTGCCGGTACTTGGCGGCAGCCAGCACCCTCCAGATGTCGTCCAGATTGTCACTGCGCACCAGCCGTGTGTCGTTGCGTAGCGCCTCAAGTGCCTAGTGGTGGAAGGAATACGAAGGGAACGCGAGACCAGTTTTGCAGCGCCTCAAAAATAGAGCCTCAAGTACCCAGTAGTAGTGGGGGGAAAACGGAAGGGAACGAGAGGACGAGGACAAGGAAATGAAGGAACGCGCTCAAGCTCCGGTTCCCCAGCTGCTTGTCACCCGCCCACCTTCTCCACCTTTCACTATTCCGTTCCCCCCCCACCCTCCCTACCCGCCCCCTTCCCTCCTCCTCCTCCCCACCCTCCCCCCCCACTATTCCTTTCCCACAACCACCCCCTCACCTGTGACTAACCCATCCCCCCCGCCACCCTCCCTACCCGCCCCCCTCCCTCCTCCCCCCACCCCGCACAAATCCGTTCCCGCAACAACCCCCTCACCTATCACTAACCCATCCCCCCGCTCACCTTCTCTAGCTCTCTGATCGCCTCTGAGAATCGGCTCAGCTGCGCCAGAGCACCACCCTTCTCCACTTCCCACTGACACCCCTAACAACCTCTACTCAGTTCCCCCACCCACCTTCCCCCCACCCACGTCATCTTCCCCCCATCGTCTTCCCCCCGCCATCATCTTCCCCCCCACCCACCTTCCCCCCCCCCATCATCTTCCCCCCACCCACCTCCCGCCCCCCATCATCTCCCCCCCCCCCCCCACCTCCCCCCTCCCCCATCATCTTCCCCCCACCCACCTCCCCCCCCCATCATCTTCCCCCCGCCCCCACCTTCTCCAGCTCTCTGATGGCCTCTGAGAATCGGCTCAGCTCCGCCAGAGCAAGGCCCAGAAGGAACCGCGCCTGGGCAGTTGAGTTGAGAGGTGCACGACAACAACACGGGGAGGGGAGGGGGGAGAAGGGGGGTGGGGGACATTGAGCATCCAGTGAGCTCTCGCCTCGTTTCCTCTGAGAATCAACTCAGCTCCTCCAGAGCAAGGCCCCGAAGGAACCGCGCTTGGGGAATAAGGCGGATGGGGCAATACCAAGGCAGCGGGGGTTGGAGATTGATTTCTTTCAAAGGACCAGTTGGCCCGGCATCCCCTCTAAGAATCGACTCAGCTCCGCCAGAGCAAGGCCCAGAAGAAACCGCTCCTGGGCAGTTGAGAGGTGCACGGCAACAATGCAGGGGGAAGGGGAAGACTGAGCATCCGTTGACCTCTCGTCTCGCTCCCTCTGCGAATCGGCTGAGTTGAGAGGTGCAAGACAAAACACGGGGAGGGGGGGCGGGGGGGAGGGGGAGAGGAATATTGCGCATCCATTCAGCTCTCGTCTCGCTCCCTCTGAGAACCGAGTCAGATCTACCCAAGCAAGGCTCAGGAGCATGAGCAGCTAAGAAATCCACGGCTACACGGAAAGGGGATCCAAGGGAAGCATTTTTGCGGCGCCTCAAAAGTCATGAGCAGCTAAGAACTCCAGGGCTACAGGAAGGGGATCCAAGGGGAGCATGGAGGGTGGGAGTGGGGGAGGGCGGAGAGGAGAGAGGACAGAAGATGGGGAGAGGGCGGAGAGGAGAGAGGACAGAAGAGGGGGGGGGGGAACAGCGTCTGTGCGCGGTGGTTTTTTACCTTGACGGAATTTCTGTCCAGCTCCAAAGCCTTTGTGCAGTCATTCTCCACTCTCGGCCAATCACTGCCACACAACACAAGAAACGAAACAGATGACACACTGTAAGCTGCACAGGTGTGCCGATGCCAGATTTGCTCTTTTTGAGGCGCCTAAAAAATACACTGCCACACAAGAAAACGAAACGGAAAAAACGCTGTAAGCTGCACAGGTGTGCCAATGTCAAATTTGCTCTCAGCACGTGGCTTAGATCAAGGTGACTCTTTGAGGTGACCCAAAAATCACCATGATTTTTGAGTTGACAGAAAAACGAAACAGATGAAACGTGAAAAGCACCACTTTTTTTTTTTTTTTTTTTTTTTTTTTTTTTTCTTTTTTTTTTTACGTACCGGTCTGCTGGCCGGACCTAGCCGTGAAGCTAGGCGCCCCGGAAGGAAATCAGGCCCTTAAAAAACGTTAGCTTGGCTCCCCCAGGGTAGGCTAACCCACAGGCCCCGCACTAGGTGCGGTTGTGAGGGTGTGTGGTGCTCCACCAAAACCTCCCGTTGCTGCTGTGCATGCCTCGTTACACCACAGGTGTGCTGATGCAAGGCAGGTTAGATCAAGCCTGGACGAACCACTCACCATGCACGTATATGTGCATTCGTGTTTAATGTGGCGGATAATACACGCGTACCATTGTGCAAGTCAAAGCCGATGTTCGGATGCCTAAGAGGATTCAGCAGCCTAAGGGGATTCAGCCGCCTAAGGGGATTCAGCCAGCCGTCTAAGGGGATTCAGCCAGCCGCCTAAGGGGATTCAGCCAGCCGCCTAAGGGGATTCAGCCAGCAGCTTCAGCGCCTCACCTTTTTCGTCTGTGGCACAGAGCTCGGTTGGTCCAGTAGATTGCCACGCCCGGGGAAAAGGCGATGGCCTGCCATGGCAACAGAGATAAGACGGCAGGTGGCATGGCGCGAGCGAGCATGGCATAATGGACTTGCACACAGGAACCAGAGAAACGGTAACAGGAGAGTTCGGAAGCTCAGAGCTCGCATACGCGGTTGGAAAATTCGATGGGCTGAAATGGTAACACGGATAGAATAGAACAGTGCGCAGGAACAGCGCACGGAGCGAGGAGTACAGGAATAACGAAGGACGGAGAGAGATAATGAAGCAGCAACAGAGGAAATCGGAAATTTCATGAGGAGTACACGCACGTATATATAAACCTGCTCCGTTTTTTGTGTGTTGCGGAGCAACCTTTTTTTAATCCCCCGGTTTGGCGGAGCGCTCACCTCCGTGTACGCGTCTATAGCTGCTCCGAGAAACCCTTTCTTGAAGTACTCATTGCCTTTCTGCTTCAGACTCTCCGCCTGAATTTCCTGCGACGTCTTCGGCGGCATCGCGCTCCCCTGCGAGAATCACCCAGGCGCTGAAGCCGCTGGGGTGACTTTTGAGTCGACTCAAGTGTCACCAAGACGCTACGCCACAGAAAATTCCCCCTTCCGACAATTGGTTGTACCTCTCTCTCTCTTTCCGCAAACGGCTAGACTCCACTTATAACGGCTACTAGAATCTACTTCTAACGGGTACCATACTCTACCTTGTTCCAGCCTAACGAGTCCCGTGATCCACGCTCAAGCCTCACCTGATGGCTCAACTTCCTTCTTCTAGCGGGAGGTACAAAGACGTGACGCGGAAACAGGACACGTCGACGGGTAATCAACTACTAGTAGTTACAAGGATCACTGGATGCGTTACCAGTTGAGGAAACGTGGTTGGAAACGGAGAAAAACGATTCTGTTATGCGGCGTTCGCATTCTAGGGTATACCGAATCAAACCACGTACTGAGGTAGACCTATATAGGCTAAGAGCCTGAGAGGAGCTCTCAGAGCCGTGTACCCATCCAGTCAATTCCGCTGCATCTCACGCATCTCATGATACATGATATGCAGGTTCACACGAATAGAATGAAGCACGCAGCAGGCACAGGACACCATCCTCCTTGCTGGCTGCTGAGATATGCGTCGTCATGGCTCCCCAGCTCGAATTTTACATCAGCAGGTGCCCCCTTGGGAAAAGGGCATAGGGGGCTGCTGTACGGGGAAGCACCTAGAAGGTCATTCACCTGCTGTGACTTTGAAAAACGTACCGTGCTGTAAACCGCTCTAACCCTCAAAACCACGACTTGATAGCGAAAAACCTAGCCGCAACAATCTTGAGGCTTGAACCATCCATCCATACGAGCTCTGCCGTGTCAGGGTGGAGCTGTGAGTTGCAGTTGCACCTGCCAGCCACGCAAGCACGTGCACCCTGCCGCCACCTCGATATTTGCGTGTGCGCGGGAAACTTGCGGAATTGCTACACTCTAGGCACCCCGTTAGCTAACGCAAGTCACGTAAGGGATACATTTTTCCAACTCAATCAACAAGCATTCAAAAGAGAGAAACTTCTAAAATCTCACACGTTATTAGAGAAGGAAAGGTACGACAGCCTTTCGTTGCTTAGGATAATCTTCAAACTTCTGCAAGTACCACTTATGGTGGGACACCGCACGTGGCATGAGATTGGCGCATGCAAACACAAAGAATGCAAAGCCTGCCCAAGACCATGTTAGTATGGCCCACCCTAGCCACTCAAGCAGCTCTCCAGAATAGTTTGGGCAGGAAACCAGGTGGAAAAGCGGCCCTCGAGGAATCTGGTACCCCGTGTCCTTGGAACTTTTTCGTAGGGCGAGAAGCGCTGAATCGGCAGCGATGTTGGTGATGAAACCAAGGAGGAAGAGAGAGGAGCCGATGAGAAACTGCGTGGAAAAGAGCCACGAGAGAGGATACTTCCCAATGGCACCGACCCTGCAAAACGTCAGTTGGAGACAAGATGTTGTGTGACAGTGAGAAGAGGGCACGAGAGAGAATTCGAAGAGGACAGGAGTGAGCAGGAACGAAAAAAGGCATGATTAGCGAAGACAGCCGTGGAGAAACAATGGAGCATGAAGGCAGAAGTGTCCTTGGCCCTGTTTCAGCGAAGGAGGGATGGGGGGATGGGGGAATGGGGGGATGGGGGGTGGAGGAGATAATGTTTTCAAAACCTCAGGAACTGCGGTTCCCAAATTTCCACCCAGTCTCGACGCTGTCTATTCTCCACCTGCACCTCACTACCATTTAACAGTATCTCTGATTAATTCCCTTGTGCAGACTGTAGCAGCCCCATCAATATCTACTAATCACTCCCTAATACACCATACCAGCACCCCCATTCCCACTCACTCACTGGTATCCCTGCATGAACCCGTTGTGCAGGTTGCAGCAGCCTACACATCACTACTTACTGCACTCTCCATTACAGCCCCCATCATCAGCAGCACTTACTGGTATCCCTGAATGGATCCGTTGTGCAGGTTGTAGCAGGACCAGGTGACTTTGACTCAAATATCGCAGCATTTCCACTTACTGGTATCCCTGCATGAATCCGTTGTGCAGGTTGTAGCAGAACGCCAGCAGCATCACCAGCACCGGCATCGTCTTCCCCTCCGCTCGCATCCTCAGCGGGTAAATTACCACCCGATGGACATAATGCACCAGATAAAACGCCATTATTACCGGTGCCGCCCTTGATTCCCCCCCGCTGGACCCTAAACCACTCATCTCCGTCTCCTTTCCCGCCGTTCGATCTGCCACGCGGCAGCCGTTCCAGCCCCAGCTGAACGCCATTGCGGAAAGCCAAAGCGCGGGGCTTTCCATGATAATCCACGCGAGCCGCGCAGGGATCAGCGGGCCCCAGCCGGGTCTGACGTGTCGGCCGTACGGCGCGGAGATGAACACAGTGGCGAGGCATGCAACGGGAGCGAGGAGGAACATAGCGGGGACGGCGAGTTGGAAGAGGGAGGCGAGGGTGGAGGGTGACGGTGCGAGCATCGCGGAGACTGAAAAGAGCGCGACGGCGAAAAAAACAACTCCCATAATCGCTGTCGACACGTGAGGGAGAGGAAAGAGTTTTGAAAGAGTGGGAGGCTGGCAGGTGGAGAGACAGGAGGGAGACGGGCGATTCGAGGCAGGACACTTTCGCGATGAGCAAGAGTGGGGAAGAAAACACCTACAATGGAGGAGGGCACAGGGTTACATGGACGCTGCTTGACCAGTGGTGAGTGTCACTCTCTGGACTGATGAAACCTCTGTGTAGAAGGTTTCAAAACTTCGACATAATTATCTGGTGCTGAAGTTAACTGTACACCTCTATTCTAAGTGTTGCAGCTTTCTACCGTAAGAGCAGTTTATCACCCTACTATTGAAAGTGTTTCTCCGAAGTTGTACTAAAATTTCAACCAAAACCCTACTCCTCCACTTGATACAACAGGTAACAAGCTAATCTACGAAGCAGTGGCAGAGAGCCTCACACACAAGAGAGAGCCAGAGGCAATTTTTTCCCAAGAAAGTAGGGCCCCTGTTTGTTTTGTACTGCGCATGGGCAGCCTCCGTGTCCGATGCCGTGTCCGTTCCGAAAATTGCTTGTCGCATAGTTTTCGCAAAGCGTGTCAATGCTGCGTTTCTTTGTCATGTAAAATTTCATATGTCAACTTACAATCTTCACGACAAAAGTAACACAATCAAACAAATCCTCCCAAAGGATTGATTCCACACACAACCATAGTTACAGGAAGCATCTCAGAATAACGTAATGAACTAGAAATGAGTGATACAGGGTGGTTTTGTCCTAAGGAGTTGTACTCTCTATGAGCATGCACCTATCTAGCATATAACATGTACAAATATATGTTGACACACTCCCCTAGGCTAGACAAGGGGCAACGACTAGCAAGAGACACGCAACTTGTGAGGCAAGGGTGGCACTACTAGTCCAACCACTGAGGCAAGGGTCTTAAGACCAGTCAACAAGAGTACAAAGGAAACAAGAGTAACCTTGCGCGACACTACTAGTCCAGCCACTGGAACAGGAGCCACAAGGCCAATCAATATAATATAAGATATAGTATGCAATCAAGGTCATAGCAAATGAGAAGCTACATGAACTAGACCAAGCTGTACACAGTGCTGCTGATGATCTTTTGGCGCAAGCGCCTTCGTGAACATACCAGCTGTATTGGCACCGGAGGCCAAGTGAACTACACGAGCCTGGGGGCGCTGCTGTAGCTCGCGCAGAAGGAAGTACCGCAGCTGGATGTGCTTTGCTCTGCCCTCTAAACGAGGCTCTTGACACTGGAGGATCATGGCCCTGTTGTCAGCGTATAGGACCAGGGCAGAGCTAGGCCACACACCTAAGTCTGTGAGTAAGAAAGTCAGCCAGCGGAGCTCCAGTGCCGCCATGGCACCAACGTAGATCTCAGCCTTACAGCTAGATTGGGCAACAGACGACGAGCGAGTGGACCTTCACAAGATGGCGCATGCACCAAGGCTAAAGCAGTAGCCCTATGAGGACCTGAGCGTCTCAGCGTCGTCTGTCCACGAAGCGTCTGTGTGCCCTGTAAGGACCACTGGCCTGCGTCCTCCTAGCACTAGCCCCGTGCCCGATGTACTTGCTAGATAACGCAATACCGTCTTAGCGGCTGACCAATGATGTGGTCGGTGTTTGCCTGTGGCCACAAAGCGAGCCAGTATGATGAGAGGATGTGCAAGATCTGGACAAGTGCAAGTCATCTAGTACATGAGGCAGCCCACCAGCTCTGCGTAAGGACCACTAGGCTCTACAGACTCGTCAGGGATAGGAGCCGAGAGCCTGTGATCTACTGGCAGAGGTGTGGGCTGTGCGGAGGAGAACTGAAGACCAAACCTCTGAAGGACCTGGCGCACCAAGTGTGACTGTGTGAGAGTGATGGTGCGCGCTGTTCTGTCCCTGGTTATCTGCAGGCCAAGGTAGCAGCGCAACTCTCCTAGGTCAGTGCAGGTGTGTTTCCTCAGCAGTTCAGCCTTAACGGAGGCCAGTGCATCTTTGTCTATAGTAGCGAAGACCAGGTCGTCTACGTAGACAAGGATGTAGAACGGGGTCTGGCATGAACAAAAAGAGCGAGGGGGCTGCAGACGACGAGAAAACCTGCAGGTCAGCTAACGTAACACGCAGCGTGTCGTGCCACTCGCGGGTCGCCTGTCGCAAGCCGTAAACCGGGCGCCACAGGAGCCACTCGGTACCAGACGCGAAGATGCCGGTGAAGCCGGGCGGACGACGCAGGTAGACCTGCTCGTGCAGACTTCCCTGGAGAAATGTTGTGGAGAAGTCGAGGGAGTGCAGCTTGTAGTCACGCTGTGCTGTTACGTGTAGCAGCGCTCGAAGAGTAGTCATCTTCAGGGTCGGTGCGAAGGTCTGAAAGAAGACAACACCCTCGCGCTGACTGAAGCCTCTAGCAACGTAGCGCGCCTTGAACATCGGCGGCTCTCCAGGAAGGCTCTTCACTTTGAAGAGCCACCGGCCATTGACTACGTTCACCCCAGGTGGGGGAACTGCATCGACGTAGGTGCCGGTAGATCTCTACGATTCCATGTCTGCATCCATGGCAGCTATCCACTGAGAGGCCCAGGGTCCCGAGGTCGCCTTAGCGTAAGTGCGAGGGGTCTGGATATAAAGGGCGTTTGGGTCACCCAAAAAAACTAGCAGCATGGAGCAGAGATGGGGACCAGCCTCGGACAGGAAAGCGAGCTCGTACTGCCTTTCCTTAGAACTTCATTGCCAAGGGCAGGTGCACCCTTGACAGACGGAGGACGGGTAGGGCCAGAAACCAGAGCGGTGGCATAGTCAAGGCGACGAGTAGAGGCAAAGTCAGTGACTGCAATAACAAGAGCGTCAAGACTGGAGACAGGAACGGACGGGTCGGTAACAAGAGAAGCAAGAATGCGAGGGATAAGCGGACTAGCGGCACGGAGGAAGTCAGAAAGAGGAGGAGGGGAGACAACAGGCGATGACTGAGGAGGCGACAGTAGAAGGGGAGCACGAGACACATGAGAACGGAGCAATATAGGGCGAGAGCGCTGAACAGGAGAGACAGGACGGACACGAGAGGCATGGTGAGACCACCAGCGGGAGAGGAGGTGGGTTAAGAGACAAGGGCAGGGCTGACGTTTCAAAAAAAGGCACTCTGAGCCAACCCCCCCCCCCAAAAAAAAAGAAAGTATGAAAGGCCTTCAGCCTGAATTTAGGGACTCTGAAATGTCAGAGTCCGAAGATGGGCAGGTCTGAAATCCTCCGGATCGCGCAAGTACATTCAGGGTTACATTACATATTATTAAGATGGCCTCTTGTGTCTTACATTTTCCTACACAGGAAAGAAGCTTAAAACAACTACTACTACCACCAAGCAATCACTAACTAACAAGCTCCTAGAAATCCAGCGCATCTACTGTAATCTCATCATCACCCCCCTCATTGTCGGACAGGAAAGGGTCGTCATCTATTCTTGGAGCCGCATCATCCTCATCATCACCCCAATCCTCCTCAGCCCACCCCTCCCCCATGTACTCTGGCACCTCCCCCTGTCCATTACCCGTTGTGTCTCCGGCCACCTCACCCTCTAGGACCTTCCCCCTGCGCTTACGTTCCGCAGATGCGAAGACAACAGATTGTGCTGGGCGTTTCAGCTTCTCTCGCCAGGTCGCCAGGGCTACGGTCCAATTGATGTCGTACTGCAGCAGCAAGATGGCCATCAACTCGGAGAGGCGCGCGTTGCAGAGTGAGCCACGGATCCAGGACTTAATCACGTTCTGTCGAGAGAAGCCCCTCTCGCATTCGACTGTTGACAGAGGTAGCACGGCGCACGCCTGCCATAGAGTGAAAGCAGATAAAAAAGGGGGTTTAAAGGCGGTCGGCAAGGCGGAAATGCTGTGCACACTTGGCAAGTAGAATGGAAGGTGGTGATTCAGAAACAACAATACTGTTGGACTTGCCTGCTCGCGTCCGTCTTTGTGAGGTAGTTTGCCAGGCCTTGGTGGAAGCTCTCCACCTCGTGTTGATTCTGCATGATCGGCGCCCAAGTTGCGAGCTCCGTCTCCGCTGCCTTCACGTCGAAGCCGGGCAGCTTGTGCTCGAAGATGCCGCTGCATCCGAGCAGATACTCTCTCATCTTCTTCTCGCGTTGCGCCCGTTGTCTCGGCCACTTTGCCACCACCCACAGCTTCGTCGGGGACATCTTGCGCAGATCCAGCATCCGCTCTTGTACGTTGGTCATGGTATCCTTGGCGTGCTTCAGGCACAGCAGCACGCAGTCCTTGTAGCTGCTCCCATACTGGTGCTTGTCGAGGTGCCGCTCGTGCATCTTGTATGTGTGGGTGACGGGGTTCTCCTCCAAGTCGATATCGCGCACCTTCACCCGCTTCGACCCGCCGCGCCCGTACACCGTGAGGAACGCCGAGAGCCAGGTGTTTTTGGCGCCGACACCGAAAACCTCCCCGCACTCGACATAGCGGTTCCGCAGATCCCCCAGTGTCTCGTCGATGTCCGTTGCCACCTCTGTGTCATCGACCTGCGGTGTGGGGGGGAGGAAACAGAGGAGAGGGAAAGACATGAGTAGTTGCACCAGAGGAGAACACCATGCTTGCAGACATGAGCATCTCACCTCTCGCTTCTGGAACTTGAGGTTGAGGTCGTTCGTGAGTGCCAGCATGTCGGCCAGGTAGAAGAGGCAAAACTGAAACTTATACGAAATCACAACCTCATACAAGGGATGCTCATACTCATACAGCAAGACAATCGCAGCACCCAACTCTTTACACAGGCGTCGGATTGCCTCTCCCTAGACAACCATCGAACATGATGGATGCCTTGAACCTCAAGGTTCGTGCTGTGAATCGCCCGCTGCAGGTGCTTGAAACGATTGCTCCATACGCTCGACCGGCCGAGAAGGTCCGCAAGGGTGCGAGTGACCTTGTTGACCATGTCAAGGTCAGGACATGAAGCAACAGCGTCCTTCACAGCAAGTGCTTCTCTGCATGTACCCACATGAGTAGTACTTAGCGCACGGAAACATAAAAAATATAAACAAACAGCAAGGAATACTTTAACAAACCTGTGGGCGATGCAGTGGGAGGAAAAGAGGTACGGGATGATGTCTCGCAGGCGCGCCACAAGCCC